GAAATCTTTTTTTGGTTTGAGATTTTCGAAGGTGTACTTGATGAAAAATGGTGAAAAAGTTGAACAGATGAAGGTAAAAATCAATCAGTAATGTTGTACTCGATTCACGACTTGTTTAGGTTACAAGGATGGGCGATTTTTTTTTTTAGAAAAGTGTCTTTTTTCCAATTTTCTTCAAATTCATAGTCTCCAGAAAATTATTTTCATCGATATTTGTCGGGAATATTTTCCATGATAGACTTGGTCATTCACACGGAGGAAAGAATGAACAATGACCGGGTCATGTTCAAAATCAAATGATCACAGTTTTTATGGCGTTTGTTTTCAGCGCGCAGGTGCTGCAAATCTCAAAGTGCTCGGCGTGCGACACGAGTCTGCAGCTGCCGGCCGTCCACTTCCTGTGTCGCCATTCGTATCACGTCCACTGCTTCGAGTCCTACTCAGAACGCGCCGATCGATGTCCCGCCTGCGCCACGCAGAACCAAACTCGAGACCGTGACAATCTCGCGGAGAGGGCCGCCTACAGCAAATTCCAAGCCGAGGTTTTCAAAGAATCTAGTCATCGCTTGTGACTTTTGGATTCAGCTCGAGTCTTGCACCGACAACATGGAGCTGATCGCCAAGTATTTGGAGAATGGCCTTTTCGATGATCACCGCCACAGTAAGAAGAACGACGTGAGTTTACACTTTTCAGTCAAAAGCTTTAGAGCTGTTGTTCGATTTTTAATTTTTTTCCAGAGATAAGTCTATACTTGCAGAAGCGGGCATCGGGGGCGATTCTGTCGACGATGATGAGCCGGACGTCGTCGACGCCGTTCGACGACGACTGGGAAGACTCGCCGTTGTCGCGAACAATGTCGTCCGCGTCAACGGTGTCGCGGCCGCCGCCTTCCGTTATCAAGAGCCTCTACTCTCCTGCAGTCGATGATTACGACGATCGCAAGAATCCGTTCGCTTCCGAAGACGTCACAACAAGGAAGAAAAAGTCCAACACTGCTTATGACGAATCGAAAAACCCCTTTGGTAACACCCCATCTAACAATCCTTTTGATGAGGAATAGTGTCTCTAACATGTCCTACTTTATTCCCATCGAGTCAGTTTGTGGCCTTTCTCGTGCCTTTCATTGTACATATTCCATATTTTCCAAAGAGTATTCATTGTGAATTCAGTATAGCTTATATGACAATGAAATGAAATACAAAAACCTTGAATAACAATTTGTCAACTTCAAAAGTTTTCCAAAGATAATTTATTGTGAATTCACTGTGATATTTCGAAAATAAAACATTCTTTTCTTGTACCATGTCAATTGCAAAAGACGGTAGGCGTCTCGCGAAATGGAAGCGTAGAGTTTCTTCTGATTGAAAGACTCTACCATGCTGAAAGTTTTCAAGTTATTGAGAATCCAGATTTTTAAAATGCGAGAGACTTACGGCCTCTCCATCCGCCCCAGCCTCCCCATCGGTTTCCAGGGTTCCAGAATCCGCCTCTCCAGCGATGTCCGCCCCAGCCGCCCCATCCGCCGCCTGAAAGCCGAGTTCATTCTTTGGATTAAAATGAGATCTTACGTCCGCCACCGCCGTTTCCTCCCCAGTTGCCTTGACCTCCCTGGTTATTCCAATCTCCACCTTGTCCTCCACGACCACCTTAAGAATACATAATAGAAACTAGCCTGAAAATCAATGCAAAAAGAGAAAAGAATAAAGCATTAAAAGTTAATTTTTTTTTTTCGGTAAACCTGACTATCTGCCTCAGCACGCATAAACGATTGGGTATGCTAACCTAAATGTTTTGTGAAAAAAAGTTGGAACAAAGGTTTTTTTAAAATAATTTTTTTGTTTGATTGTGCCCGTTTTTTTGGTAGAATGAACTTTCTTCCGGATATTATAAAAAAATTTGATAAATTTCATCAAAAAAACTTTTTGAGAAGAGATTTTTTTGGAAAAAAATATAAAGCTCATCATTGAAAATACTCTGAAGAAGTTGAATCGAGAAAGTATTTTTCAAAGTTCTCAAGGTCATTACTTTTTTACAGACCTTTCAGCAAAAATGTTGAATCTGTATAGAAATGGAATTGTAATTCCTCGCATTTTGCAATCTTTTCGTTAATTTAGTTCTTGAAGTGAGTTCAAATCTGACTTTTCCTCAAAAAAGTTTCACTCACTTGGTTTCTTCTCAGGATACCAACTGCCACTCATTAAAAAAAAAAAGACAAAAACCAAACCAGACTGTCCTCCGCCTTGGTTACCCCAGCCGCCGCCAGACTGGCCGCCCTGGTCCCAATCTCCTCCTTGTCCTCCTCCTCTTCCGCCGCCTCAACAAGAGTTATTCGAATAATCTTCTTTTTTTTCATCAGACTCACCAGACTGGCCTCCCTGATCTCCCCAGCCGCCTTGACCTTGTCCTCCGCGACCTCCTGAACTTTATGTTCAATTGACTGACTCGAAATTCGTAAAACGAACCGCCGCCTTGTCCACCCCAGTTGTCTTGACCGCCTTGACCACCTTGGCCGCCCCAGCCACCTTGTCCACCTGAATCACATCGGAATTGATGGAAAAGTAAGATGTAGTCGGATTTGAGAGTAAACTTACCTTGACTGCCACCGCCGTTCTGACCGCCCCAGCTTCCTTGTCCACCTAAATCAAAGTGAAATTAATAGAAAGGAAAAAAGAAAACTTTTCATCGTAAATCGATCTGAAACTTTGGTGGAATTTTTGAGCCTTTTCTGCGCATTTTTGACATTTTTGACTTCCTTATTAGCTTATGTAGTTCAACACGTGAAATTTTCTTTTCCCCTGTTCAGGTCCTTGAATCAGCAGTGTTTAGACTTTATGTGCAAATTTTCCAAACGATGAACAAACCTTGGTTGCCGCCGCCATTCTGACCGCCCCAGCTTCCTTGACCTCCGGCTTCTAGAAAATTTGGTTGAAAAAAGAAATTTTCGTGTAGAAACCTGCTCCGCCACCATTCTGACCTCCCCAACCTCCGCCGCCACTTCCGCCACCACCGCCACCTAAAATATTTCTAATTTTCCATTAAACTACAGATATTTTCGCCTCTATGCGAAGAGCGTGACAAAAAAAGCCAAATTATCAAGAACAAATTTATTTTTTAGTTACATCTTCCTCCCTTTTACTGACCTCCTGGCTCAGAAATCTTTTCCGTTCTTCACTTGAAAATTCAATCAAATATATGGAATGCGAGGTAAAAAAAAACGTTTTGTTTTCCAATGTTTCTTCCCATGTTTTGCGCAGCTTGGACCGATACTGATCAGGAGATGTAATACTTTGCTAAATTCTAATAGGAATCAGTACAAAATCAGAGAGTCCTCTGCGATGAAAATGAAATGTACAGTCCAAAGCGGCCTAACCTCCTGCGCCACCTCCATGCCTACCGCCACCTCTGTGGCCTCCGCCGCCAGAAGCGCCGCCGGACGCCGAGGCGTCGCCCCAGCCGGCCCCAGCTGCGGCCCCACCGAACAGACCTTCTTGTTGTGCCGCGCCACCTGGAAGTTGTTCAATGCCCGGTGCACCTAGAATACTTTTCGGTTTGGGACAACATTTTGGTGAAGAAGTGATTTTTTTCGAAAGTTGTTATCAATGACGAGCTGTCCCAAAACCCATCTTCAAGCTCTGAAAAAAGGAAAACCTCGAGAAGCGACTGCGACGACCAGCAGAAGGAGAAGAATCGTCCTCATGATTGGGTCGAAAACAGCGCTCGAATCGGAAACAGTGGAACCGATACAAACTGCGACGTCTTCTGCGTCCAACAGGGAAATACGCGCCGACGCTCCGCCCACTTTCTCGGTCAATTCCCTGTTTATTAAGAAGCCACGCCCATTTTGATTCGTCGAACTTGCAGCTTCCGACCTGTCCAAATTGTAAGAAACATCTGAGTCACGTCTTACTCCCGATGTAAAACAAGTCTATACAGCCCATGTAGGAGACCGCAAAAAGTAAAAATTACTTTCCTTTTTTTAAAATTTAGTATAATTTAAGTCTAATTTAATTAATTTTTTTAAATTTAACATTCAGGTTTTCTTTTTTTATACATCTATTTGGAAAGTTATTTTTTTATTAAAAAAAGTTGCAACCGCCCTTTTTTTCAAATTCAAGTTCAACGGTATTGAAGATTCTCAAAGTTTGCTGCTCTTCAAGATATCCAAATTTGTTTCCAATTTCCATTACTTTTTCTGTGCGTTAACTTTCATTCAAAAAAAAAGCGCACAAGCATTTTTCGCTCAATTGAAATAATTAAAAATGAAAAGTTAACTTTTTAAACTTCTATCGATCGGTATTTGTACAGCTTTGTCAGAAATTTTTTGAACTTCAAAAAGTGAAAATATCTTGAAAGAAAAAAATTTTTCGATGCGACTTTTCTTCCGAAAAATGAATTCTCCACTTGTTTATGACGGAAAGGCAAAATTTTGACCTGAGGTCACGAGCGTCGGGCGTTTGATCAATTTCCTTCGCCGCTTCAAAAACTTCGGGCCATCCATCATCGGTAAGAACTACGGTTTGGCCCAAATATCGACGTGACAGACGGGAGAAAATGACGTGACAATTCGAAAAAAAGGCTAAGGATCAATCTAGCTATATATTGGAGAATTAAATGACAAACAAAAACCTTAGTTAACATTTTTTCTAACCTTAGGCGGACGCTTTCTTTTAGATGTGAACTAAAAAGAAGCTCTTTAGTTTTAGATTGCTCCGGGATCTTTTCATTGTAAGATTTGGGAATTTATTTTAGAAGAAATTTATAGTACTGAAAATAAATACGTTTCATTGATCAAGATACACGTGAATGGGACAGCAGTAATTTATAAAACACTAGATTCGTGCATGCATGAATAACTCTTCGTTGGAAATGAATCTATCAAGATGAAGAGAAATACAAAATAAGGCATTTTTGAAAGAGAAAAAAATTTGGGAAATACCCGCTTTTGTCGGTAAGAGCAAGATGAGCAACAAAAGTTGGAATATAATCTTTGGAAAAAAGGATTGAAAAGGAGGACCGGTAAGTTTTCTGTACATTTTTCATTTCTAAAAACAACCAGGAACTTTGTAAACTTTAGCTCTTGATATACTTTAACCCGTCTCAAATTATAACTTTTTTGGGATAATAGTTAGCCTTTTCGAATTCAAACAAAAGCTACTGAGTAAGGGCTTTCATGAACGTTTCGTTGGCAGAGAAAGAGGGAGTTTTGCGTCTGAGGTACCCGTAAACCGTGAGGAGATACTGCTGAGTCACAATTTCCAGGGGCTGCAACGAAGATCCGTCGTCGACTTGGTCCTTCTGCCGGTAGTACGAAACCAACGTTTCGATCGCTCCTTAAAATCTTTCCACAATTTTTCTTAAATTTATCGGGATTTTTTATTGCGCTACATACGTCGGCTGGATCCCACCCCGTGGTGCGACCTACCCACCGAAAAATGCGGCCTACTTCCGTACATTTTCAAATTTCTTTTTTCGAAAGGCTGGTGTGGGATCCAGCCGATGTATGTTGCGCTAAAATGATATTCAAACGAGTTATGCCGAGTTTTTGGGTTCTCTTTCGTGTTTTTCAGTGAGTGTTTTCGAGACATGCCATACACAAAGTGAAAAAGACCTTGATTGACGATTTCCGAAAAATTCCTAGAAGCTCACCTTGCACTGAAATGTCAATTTCAAACTGTTTATTGTGCAGAATCGGCGAGAGACTCTTTATCAGGTCGTGCAGACTTTGCAGGTAAAACTCTGCGGGCTCTTTATCGTACATGTAAATGTTCAGTTTGTCCGAGCAGCTGAAAAGTACGGAAGGAATTCATATTTAAGACCGAAAAAAAAAGAGTGTAGCCTACTTTTAACATGAGAAAAAATGTGAGATAATCGAAAAGTTCTGCTTATCAGAAAAGAAAAAGAACCATCTCGAGACGGCGGCACGATCCATTTTCAGAAGGTCCTCGACGCGTTTCAACACAAGCTCCGAACTAAAAATATAGGCCTGCAGGGACTCCATGAAGTAGACAAAAGAGCGTCGTCTCAGGTACTTCAGGTTGGTTTTCATAGCCGTCTGCAATAGGAAAAATGGAAAAAGTCCAAGGATCTGAGGAAAAACTTCGTCCATCGGTTTGAAACACTGAATCACGGCATCAACGCGCGGTAATACTTTAGATTTCTCCTTTTGGCGGGCTTGAAATCTTATCGTCAACCGGTTTCTTCTGGAATTGAATGTAAAAAACTCTCTTTCGAATGAAGATCGAAAAAATGTTTGTTAAAAAGCTTACAGAACAGAAAATAAGAAAAACAAACAGTTTTTTCGCCTTTTTGTTTCTTCTCGACTTGGACTTTTCTCGGCAGTGTCAATTGATTTTTCCGCCTTTCCGCTTCTTTTGATTCGTTTTTTCGAGCTGTCAACCACTTCAAAGCAACTTCTTTCGATCAAAAACGACGAGAAGAACAACCTTGTCCAAAGACGTCTTGGGAGGCGACGTCTTCTTCTTTTCCTTGGATTTTTCAACATCAGTCTTTTCAAAGACTATGTCCTTCGCAACTTTTGCTGAAAATAATCTTTTCCGGATAAAGGACTTTTCTGTGAACCTCGCAATTCAGAAGGACTCGATTCCCTCTTCTTCTCTGGAGTATTTTCCTTAGATTCTATCCTCTGTTTCTTTTGTGACGTACTTTCTGACGAATTCATCCGCATTTTCTTGTCCGGAGTTTTTTCAGAGGCTTCTGGAATGAACCAAAGTACTATTTCGAGCTTAGAAGATCCTAAGAGGGCTACCATGTTCAGAAATTTCCGCAGCAAATTCTCCCTTCACACAACTAACCTCGAATCATTTGCCTTTTACGACTTTCAGTGTTCTTTAATTTCTCTGCTTTGGCCTTTTCGCGCTTCTCACGCCTCTCTTTTTTATTTTCCTCTTTCACCGTCTTCCTAATTTCTAGCAAGAACTCAAAATTCTTTTGATCACGCTCCTGGAATTTTTTCATCCATAATTCCGTGTCAAACATCCGTTAACCTTTATTTTCTGTATCTCATCTTCGTCGAGTCGGTCAGTGTCCGAGTACAAGCTATCATTCGAATAGTCTAGAATTCAACAATACTTATATTTCGCAGCTCTCAATAAAAACTACCATCATTATCGTTTTCTGGCGCTCCGAGAGCCGACAACAAAGTTTGAAGCTGCTGAAAACTTTATGATATATACTTTTTTTTGAATAAAATCGATAGGAAGATGAGCAAAAAAGTTTCTAGAAAAAAAAAATTGTTAAAAAAAATTCAAATAAGCTAAGTGAGAAAACTATTAAGAGACTTTGAACATTTCAGTGATCATCAATCCTATTGGAAAATGGAATTTTTCACTTATAAATATATAATACATTTCTAAAAAAAAGGTAAATTTGGGCTATGCTTTGCGAGCAAATCAATGTTTTTTGTTTTGTTTCCTGAACATTCGGAAAAAGGAAAAACTTCCGAGAAAGCTTTCTAAAAGGTTTCCGTGAATGAGTTTCGCACACTTTGAAGCGTACGGAAAAAAAAATGCAAGTACATATTTCCCTTCAGAACTTTCTAACGTAAAGGAACCTCGCAAGAGGCGGCGACTTTTCCCTTTACAACGTTCTTATCGAGACTTTTCAATCCGCTTTCAAGATTTGCGAGGCTGGGAAAGTCCTTGGCTGCCCGGTTAACCGAAAAGTTATTTGCTTCCACATCTTCCAAAATCGCAACCTCCTCTGACATCTGGATTCCGATAAAAATCAGCTGAACTTTTTCTGAATCAAATAGTACTGGCCGCGTCCAACGAGCGAAAAAAAAACGAACAAAAAAGACGTTATAATTGATAAAATTTATTTAAAAAAAATACCCGTGAAATTAAACAAACAAGCAACATCGCAAGCTAACAACAAAAAAACCTTCTCAAAGAGCTATCTAACATGGAAAATGAAGCAAAAATCTACAAAAGAGCCTACTATCTACCAATTACGCTCCAAGGGAGACTCGATGACGTATCCGCCAAGGTCGAAAACAGCGCGACCAGCTGCGAGAAGCGAAGGATTCAGCTTGACCAGGCCAAAAAGGTCCGAAAGAGCGTCCAGCTCAAACCAAGTCATCCGAGATAGCCTGCAACACTTTTTCCGTTTTCATTTTCATCAATTTTTCGTTTTTAAAACGGCACGTCCGTATTTGCAAATTAATATCAATTTCAGATCCAAACTTTTGAAAGTTCAAACTAAACATGAAAAAGTACAAGTAAAACTGGAAGGGAAAATAAACAACTTTTTGACGATTCAATACCGAAGTAAAAAAAATTACACTTTTTAACATCTTCTTCACGCACAATATTGGAGAGATCTTTCAAAAATTAAAGTTTTCATTTTTTTCAAGCTTTACTCAAGAGCTACACAAAGAAAAACAAATATTTTTTTCAAAATTTAGAGATTATATTCGTTTAATTTGGGAGACAGGCTAACTAGTGTTTTTATTTTCCTAAACGGAGTTTTTTTTTCCTCTTTTTTCCAGTGTCTTAATCTTTTGCTCTTGTGCAACTGAAAAACTCAAGTTTCGGAAACCTCGAACAAATCATCGTGGCCCAAGCAAGCTCGATATCTGAGTTTCGCAAACCAATCGAATAGGACCTTGAAGCTCTGGATATGGTGGAAACCATCACAAAGTTGTTCTGAAAGCCGAAAATGAGTGGAACCGGAATGAGACAAGAAGGACCTTCAGAACGGTGACGAGAGCCTCGAGACTACCATAGTCCTGTTCAATGTTCTTCCCCTTGGAACCGACCATTTTCGACATTACCGCGTTAATTCGTGACATCGAGAACTCCAGATCTTGACAGGCTTTCTGGGAAAATCTAGAATTAAGCAGTTCATATTTTTTCGTGCACCTGAAGTGACGGATGAGCATGTTCGGCGATATAATGGGTAAGGCCAGGGTTCCGAAGAGCTTCGTTTTCACTTTCCTGCTTCAAAAAACGCTTCAAGGTGCTCGTTATCCTGTTTTCATTTTTAATGTAACTAATTGAGAAATAAGATAACCTTTGATGGCCCGTTGATGTCGTCCAAGTAGCCACCGTGGCCAAGGCGATTTTCTCAACATCGGCTCCATCTTCCACCTTCACAAGCCGTATTGAAACCAATCAGATCATAAAAAAAAACCAATGAGAGCAGAGTGGAAATGTCGCGGATCAATTTTTCGAACGGAAAAGAAGTGTCACTGCTGACAACGCCGCCGAGTTCCAGTAAAACGGAAACCACCGACTCGAGAAGATTGCGAGTAAGAAACTGAAAAAAAAATCAGAGTATTTCCTGTAGTTTTTCAATATGTTAACTTACAAAAAACTACTTTCTACAAGAAACTCTAAAATTGGTAATAAAAAAATGGAAAAAAAACTAGTACCAAAATTCTGGAGAAAATAATATAAGAATGAAAAACTCAAGTATCTGCTAAGAAGCTTCGCTCGTGTTCATAAAAAAAGACTGTTTGGTTGGGAAAACATTGAAAAAAACCTTTCTTCCGATCGGAAAACCTCGAAATTAAATAGTTAAATTTCCACACAATAAATGCCATGAAAAAAATGATAGATGAAAAGGATAATCATTTATATGAAGCTAACTAGAGAGAAAACCTAATTATTAGTTTTAATTGAGAGCAAAAAAAAATCTAGGCCACAAAACGAGACGAAGAAAACGTGATATATAAGGGGAAGATAGGAAAAAATGTAAAAAAAAAATCTAAAATATTCATTAGAAAGAATGGATTGTCGTCACGGGGAGAAAGTTTTTGATTTCCCGCCCACAACGATCGTCCGTCTATTTTCATTTACTAATGAACGATGGCGAAGATCTTTTTCACCATTAAAAAAACATTATTTTGAAAAAGCTAAAAAAAAAATGATAGGAAATAGGTTTTTTGGTCATTTTGTGAACACTTTTTTGTTTTTAATTTCACTTTCTCACTGTTTCTGACGAAAAATTATAAGATATCGAAACGCACACTGATGAGAGCGTTCTCAATGTCGACGACCACCGTCATACCCTCGTCAATCATTCCGGCTAAGTAGTAAACCGCCGATTCCAGGCCGTAAACCTGGAAAACACAGCCTTTTTCTCGATACGAAGCCGCAAACTACTTGCAGAGCAAGATTGGTGACGATTCTCTGGGCACGCGAATCCTCGGCGAGCGAAGAGTTGGCGGCGACGCGACTCGGGGTCTTGTTGCACAGGACGGCGACGTCGCGGAGGATTCTCTTGGCGAGGCCGACGGCACTCGCCGCCAACGGCATTCTTCCGCTCCCAATCAGTTCCGAACCAATCTAAAAAAAACAATTTTTGAAAAAAAAAACTGGAAATCATTCAAACTTCTTTGCCGTTTCCCACGCCCCCCAGGACTTGGCCTTCCTTCACCTGCGTAGTTATGTTCACCCTTCCCACTGAAAAACTTTTTTTTTCATTAATATTTCCCCTAGAACGTACAAAGAGAAAGAGTTTTACAACATTTTACTTCCAAGCTTTCGAAAAACACGACCATGAAACGCTCTATTCATGTTTTGATACTTGCAAGCTGAAACGAACCGTCGACGGCCTTGAGCCCCAAGGTCGTGTCTCGAACAAACTTCAACTTGGAGACTTCATCGAGGGCAGTGACGTCAACCAAGTAGCAGGAGGACTCTTCTTGATTCTGAAAACAATAGTTTGTCGGTGAAAATGGAAATCATCAAACTGTAGAACGATTTTGCGATGTGCCAAATACCACAAAAAAGTTCGCGTTGTGAACTCCCATAACTTTGACGCCTTCCGCAGAAATCAGCGACTGTCCAGAAGTTCCTTGCGTAACGGAGCAAGAAGAAGCACTGAATAGAGAACATCATTTTTTTAAAGTTTTTTTTCTAAAACTTGATCAAAACTTTACACAAAATTGAAAAAAGTAGGTTCAAAAACCAAACGGATAACAAAGCTTACAAAAAAAAACTTGCCTGACGTCTTTGAAAAGGGCGATAGCCGGTCGCAATTTCCCTTGGGCGATTTTCGGCAAAAATTCTTCCTTTTGCTGTTCGGTGCCATAAATTGTGATAAGATTACCGACCACGTGGGGAACCCAAACATTGGCAAAAATATTCCAATCTTTACTCAATTCCTGAAAAGAAAACTTTACCGTTTCTCCTCGATCTGGTGAAAACCTCAAACACTTTCATTGTGTCTTTATTGACCATTCCGCAGCCTCCAAACTCTTTCGGTACCGCCAGAGCAAAAGCTGCGTTGCTTTGTAACGTTTCCAACACTTCAGTCGTCAAACACTCTTCTTTTTCCAACTCTTTTGGATCCACTAAAAAACTCAAACAATTTGAGACATAGAGAACGAGTTACCTGACAAATCTAGAGACTTTCTAAGGATCTCAACAAAACCTTCGATATTCCGCACGTCATCAGTATCTGTATACTCTGGGAAAATCATAAAATCCTGAAAGCTTCAAAGCTAAGATTGGATGAGACAAAGACAAACTTTTTCGAATTTGTTCATCGCTAAACCCCGCGACAGCGATCTTCTTTCAACGGGAACTGCTGTATCGAGAGTTTTTATTGAAAATCGGCCACTGAATGATACTTGATAGGAACGGGAAAGAAAAATGTAAATAAAAACCTTTTCTGAGATACATCTTCGAGGTCTTTTTCTTTTGCGGCTTCGGAGCTTAACGACTGTGCTTGTACGCGGCTAGATACCCGATTTATGTGTACAAATTTTAGCCTTGATAATGTTCGATGCATCTGAAAGTCAAAGTATGAATAGTAATAAAAAAGATGTATTTTTGTGGCAGGTTTTTATATTTCAACTTTACCAAGCAGAAAGTTGTTTTCCACTTTTTGAGAAATAATTTGCCAGCAAATGTGCTCTATTGTAGACGCGTACAAAACTTGCGGTGACATGAAAAAAGCAAGAAGCTTAGCGCTTTCTTATAAAAATGTGATGCCGTAAACCCACCAAAACTTGGCTTTAGATATCATTTTTTTTTTCCAAAAATAAAACTTTCGAAAAAAAAAATTTCGCGAAACTTTGAACAAATATCGTCCTGGTGCTGATAAAACTTGCGGCATGAACGAAAAGCAAATGAGGTATTAAAAGACGAGAATAAAGATGAAAAAAAAATCTATATAATGGCGTCAAACAAAGTGTTTACGGTGCGAGTTTTCTGCTTCTCAGGGGGGAAAACTGCATGCGCACTCAGGGGAAAAACGGCGTGCCAGCGCGCATCTAAAAAGAGAAAACGGCAGACCTGCGCGCATGCACCAGTTTAGAGAGCACGGTAAAATCGGAGAGACCAGAGTCGTACTCTCCTCGCTCGGCACACTGTCTGAGGACCTGCACGCTGGCATGCCAAATCCAACAAAAAAACGGCAGACCAGCGCGCAGGTCCTCAGACAGCATGGCGTTTTTTTCGGTACGTCTCAGGCACTGACGGCGCGTGTTTGTTGCTAAAAGTGCGCGTGCGCCGCCTGCTGCGCGCACGCGTGGGGTGTCTCTTTCATTTTTTAGCTTTTTAACTAATTAAAAAGATATAAGTTTGAAATTTTTCGTGTCTGTTCATCTTCTATCCTTGCTCTGCACCAGTTTATAACAATTAGTACGCACAAAAATTTGAAATACCAAAGTTTCACTTGGCAATTTTTTTTTTCATAAGTTTGTTCTAAAGTGCTCGGAACAACTTTAAAACGTGAGCAGGGGCACTGAGTAGTATTACAAAGATATGATAAATATATTTCAAAACCGAATTTCAGTGGAAAAGGCGAAAAAAGAATCAGTACCCCCGCGCGTGCGCGCACCAGTGCCTAGGCATGCCTGACTGTGAGGTCAGTCGAAACGTTCCGTGAATTATGGTAGTTATGGTGTAAACACACCGGGACGCATTATCGCATACTCCAAAAATGTTTTTTTCAATTCTAAAGTTTGGATCCAAAAATATTCCATGGAATATTCCAAACTTTTCTTATATTCCAATACTCCAAATATTCGAATATTAAGCTAATGACTTCCGAACATTATGAAATCTTCTCTATTTGAAGAATATGAAGTTGATAACATTTGAACATCATATAAAAATGTATAACAGCGATCATAAAAGGTAAAAACTCTAAATTGCGGATAACGAAAGAAAAACAGAAAATATTGTTCTAATAGGTTTCTTCGCGTCCGAAAATCAATAAAAATATGAAAACTTCAGAATAAACAAAAGTTTGAGAAGAGCCCCGTAAAAAAGAATAATTTTTTATACCTTGGAAATTCCGCTTCAGAAAGTCGAATAATGGAAAGAAATCAAATAATTTTAAAACCTTGGAGAGCGAAATGTTTAATATAGTTCGAAAAACAATCAAAAAACTAGAAAAAATAATGTAATTTGAATTAATTAAAGAATAAAAAAACTTTGAACTGCCATGTCCAATTAAATTTGACTCCAAAATACACGAAATCGGTTTTTTAAACAACGTGAAAGTAACTGGATACTGACAATAACCCTACAAAAATCGTCAAAAACTTTATTAATAATTTAAAAAGTTAATTGAAAGCGCATTTTTTTTTTGAATCCTTCAGTAAATCTATGGTTAGTGAGTCTGTTGATGGTACGACAAAATCTCAAGTCCGCAAATCTCAAGGACCGTAATCTTGTGTACGCAGATCTAAAGTCCCATAATCTTGGAAACCAAAATCTTGGAGACAAAAATCTTGGAAACCACAATCTTGGAAAGCAAAAATCTTCCCTTTTAGGCTTTTTTATTGCACTTTATCTACTTATATTCTCTTGTTTGGATCACCGAATACAGTTTCTGATGAAAACCATTCGCAAAAGCGTTGATTTTTGCTTTCCAAGATTGTGGTTTCCAAGATTTTGGTCTCCAAGATTTTGGTTTCCAAGATTATGGGACTTTAGATCTGCGTACACAAGATTACGGTCCCCGAGATTTGCGGACTTGAGATTTTGTCGTACCATCAGTCTGTTCATAAGAAAACGGGTCCTGCACAGAAAAAACTACTGTTGCCGTAGGATTTACGGCGCCCGCCCTTGATATTTTTTTCTGCATTTTCTTTCACTGCCAAGAACGCCGTGACAGTGTGTAGAGCAGGGAAAGTAAGAGTCAGGTCTCTCCAATTTTTCCGTGCTTTCTAAACTGGTGCATGCGCGCTGGCATGCCGTTCTCCCCATGAGTTTTTCGTACAAAAATTAACATTAACGTTTATTCAGTCCTCAGAGTAATCATGAATCTGCTGAATCATGGAATATTTGAAGAGATTTTTGTCGGTTCGCGCAACTGTCGCCCATCTTTCACCAAGAACTGCTCGTAGGTCATCTCGCCAACGAGGTTTAGGTCGTCCAACTTCGCGAGTTTTCGCCCATGGACGCCATTCCACGATTTTCTTCGCCCATGTGTCTTCTCCCGTAGCGATCTTCTTTGCGAAAATCCATTTTCTCTTCACAGCTTCCGACCGAACTTCGCGTAGCTTCAACTTTTCAAGAGTTTCTTCTTCTGTCGAGCAATGTTACTCCGAGCATCCATCGCATCATTTCCCGCTGTGCTGTTGCGGGAAGGTCCCTCTCTTTCTTCTTTAAATTCCATTTTTCCGAACCATAGAGAAAGGCTGGTTCAATACACATGTTGTAGATCTTGGCTTTGTGTATATTGGAAACGTTTCTTCGTGTTAAGTACGTTTTGAACTTGTGGAAGCCGCTCCATGAAGAACGAATTCTGCGTTGGATTTCGGTTTTTGAGCCACCAGCTAAGTGGAGATGGGTACCGAGGTAGATGAACCCATCCATGTAGGAGATCCTTTTTCCATCAATCTCGACATTTCTTTTGGCTCGATTAGCCATTATGAACGTTTTCGCGAAGTTGATTGCCAAGCCGGCCTTCTTGCTTTCTTTCGCCAACTCGTTAGCCATTTCTTGGATCTTCTGCGCGCTGGATTTAAACAGCACGACGTCATCAGCAAAGCGGAGACGCGACAAAGTACTGTTTTCGTACTGTACTCCAGGAAAATCTTGAGCTAAAATTGCAGCGGTTGCAGAAATTTCCATTATAGCTGATTCACGGCTGGTTTAAGCCGTCGAGAAAAGGTCCCACACACACGAAAAGAGACGAGAAAGTGCCTGGTTGGTGGAGAGTGCAGACAGGCCACGCCTTTTTGCGTCCCAAGCTAGCCCTGAATCGCCTATAATTGCGAGGATTGCTTGTAAAAGGCCACAGTTTGCAAATACAAATTAGAAACTCTGTTTTGACTCTTTCTAAACTTATCTAGTAAAATCCATTAGATCTATTGAGAGCCACTCTATATCAAATTCTGCAAATATGCAAGTGTTTATGACAATGCAAGCGGACGTCATACTGAGCAAAAGCAGCAAAATGTTTTGGGTTTGAAACACCAACGGTCGCGATTTTTACGACACTCTTTTTATTTAGTAAGAACCGCTCCAGCTGTTTATTTTTTCCTTGCCCCGAAATCAACTTTTTTGAAAACACCGCCTCAAGAACTTTTACACCATAAGTCTGTTTTTTATTGTTATTTAAAAAAATTCATGCTCAACTTTTTTTTTCTAGAAACCATTAGGTGGCTTTGAGATGATTGAGATGTAACAGTTTCTGTACAAAAAAAAAATTGATCTTCAAAAATTAAGGTCTCTTTTCCCGCTCCAGTTCATGTTAGACGCTCTCAACCTTCTGTTTGAAAACACACAACTAATTGAAAAGAAATGACAGACTGGCGACTTTTCCAGGAACGCCCATAAGTCGGCAACTGCTCAAACCCGAAAAAATTTCGAAAATTTGCTTTACGAGCAAGGTCGTTAAACCATTTATGACGGGTCGACTTTATCAACTTGGAAAGCTTCTCAAGATTCTCATGCGACTTTTGTTTACATTTGTCACCTCGACTCTTTTCATTTGTGTGGCTTTTTCGTTGTCCTTCTACTTCCGGCTTCATTTTAAGACGATCCGAGTAGCGTAGAAAACTTGTCCATCTGTGTTTGATACGTGTCACCTTTCTTTCATTATTTTGAAACTTGACCAAGAATTGCATTCTCTAAAATGAGCTTCTCCCCGCTCACGTCAGTTCTGTTATAACAATAAAGATATAGGCTGTTTTGATAATGAAATACATTCCAGAAAACCACGCTTTGTATTTTAACTACAGATTTGTTTTGACCTTCGAGCTCTTTTAGCTTCAATCGTTCATAAATTTCCAGATCTCGCAATAATTTGTTTTTTTCCTCCATTTTAAGCTGTATTTTTATACAAAGCTGTCTGTTCAAAGAACTGGCTCTCGACTCCAAAATATGCAAATTTGGAGAGAGACTTTTACCCTGATGAAATCGTACAGCGTGACTGTCACTTTACGCCTTGAACTTGCGTGATTGCAATACGAAAACTATAAAAAAAAAGTTATCTTCGACCGACCTAATCGAACGTCCCTTTTTATCACTCAAGTCATTGCCAAGTTACGGATTGTCGTCCTTATTTTATTCCGTTTTGTTTTTGATAACGCGAGGTATTCAGAACCGAAATGCAAAAGTTAGTGGTGGCGGTATCGTTTCTGGCGTCCCTGAGCGGCGTCTCTGCGGGTCAATGCAGCGTCTTGTATCAGCTGGAGGACATGTCCCTGTGCCAGCTCCAGTTGCCCTTCAGTCCCTACTTGAACTACGGCTGCGTCTGCTCAAACATCGCCCCCAACAAACCTGTCGACAACATTGACAGGTATAGGAGAACTTCAATTGCCCGACTTCTTTCATTCTCAATCTTTCCAAGCGAAGCTAGTTTTCTAGAAGCGACAGGGATTCAACCTCTAAAAGACTTAACTTCTCGCCATTAAGCCATTTTGAAGTTGAAGCCATCCAAAAAATAAAAATAGACTTTCAGATGTTGTCAAGTACATGACACCTGTTACAACAAGGCGATCAAGAGCAACGTGTGCAAAAATAAAAATGCCCCATTTTATTGCGTCTACTCCTGGAGCTGCAACAGACACAAAATCGTCTGTAAAGGTTAGTGTCTAGAACATAATAAAATGATATGAAAATTCTAGTGACATTTGAAAATCGTCCTAGTTTGAAAAAAAATTTTTAACCGGAGAACTTGGTTGTAAAAAGCAAAACGAAAAATCGGGTATAGTCTGTTTGTATTTTTAATGTCAAGTACAACGACGTCATTCAAAAACTCTGTGGATTGCTCGCTCTCTGATTGGTTTATCGCACCATTAGGGGCGGAGCTTGAGCCACGACTTGACATTCAAAATCTGAACAGACTATATACCTCATTCTCCCCGAATAGAAACAGCCTGCGCGTTTTCTCTGAGCAGCAATACAAGGATTGAAAGAGCATGAGAAAACTGAAAAGGACGGGAAAATCAGAGTCGTGGCGAGAGAGAATGATTTTCTGCAGCTGAGATTTTTTCAAAATTATTTTATAGAAAATTTTGATGAGAAGAAGCTTTACAGATTCTTGTCCCTGCCTGCAACAGACGTGCGAGTGCGACAGGAAGCTCATCGAGTGTCTTTCCAAATATTCCTATCCGTCGCATTCCAGAAAGTGTCCTGCAAGCCATCATAACATTGTGGCAACTCCCTGGATGGTCAACGTCTCCGAAGTTGAGCCTCCGAAATGAAAATCAATAGATATTGCTAGTTTTCCCGATTATTCGCTTTGAAAATGTGCAATACCATAATATCTCCGACATTATATATGCTTCCCCATCATAAGACGTCTATTACCGGTTGAATTGCTTTACATACACTAATTCCGAAAATGAACATTATTTATCAAGTTTTGCGGAAACCGAAAATGAGAAAACTGTAGAAAATAACAAATACATCACAAGAGCATGCCGTGGAATGAGACTATGATCTCAAGAGGAAAAGCATTCATTGTGCAGTTTGGAAAGCAATAAAAATCAGAAGCCGCGGTCGTTTTTTTTTTACTAAATACATACATATTACATGACAAAAATGGAGAACAGCGAACAAAAAAAGGCGAACAGAATACAAGTGATACATCTATAATGTGAATGGCACCCGGGAAAAAAAAACAATAGGAGGAATGAGAAAATACTTGTGAATGTCGAAAAAGAGATCAAGTGATGGTGAGAAGAGAGTCGCCGGCGCTGATTTCCAGAGTGGCCGTGGCGCCGCGTGGAAAAGGAATCTTGGTGGCGCCGTCGAGGACGAGGAAGCCGTCGGAGCAACGCGACTCGAGTCGGATCTTGCGAGCGTAGCCGCGTGTCGCCGTCCGGTTGAACGTGGCGTTGAAAATTGGCTCCCGGATCGAAAACGCAAAGTCTGAAAAAAGACACGGTTCCTCCAACCCAGGTAATCCTGTATAAAAACTCGTTAATTGAATACATTTTACCTCAATTTTCCCAAACTTCGATTGAAATACAAATTTAAAAAAATATGTAAAATAGCTGAAAATCTCAAATTTTCTGTGGAAATCGTCACGGATTCTAACATTATCAGTATTAAAATTCGGTTTTCCAAAACTTGGGCATGCCAGTTTAAAAAAATGTCAAGTTCCGCTAACAGAAAAGACGTTTTTGGCGCGAAACTCACTCGGATGGTCGGGTTCGAAAGGAATTTTGCCATTGTACCGATTGACGACCTCGCTCACGATAGATCGGCTGTTGGGGACCTCCATTCCCATCCCTTGGAGCACCTCGATCAATGACGTCACCGTCGCTTCTTCGACTCTGTTCATGCCGAGATACCTGGGCAACATGAGTAGGACCATTTTGGACTCGCGCAGCTCACCAGCTGGTGCTTCCAGTTCCCGTGGTCACAATGAGTCCGCTGCTCTTCTGCTTAACCATGTTCTGATCATCGATCGAGATATTGTAGGTCGACACTTTGGCGGCTTCGTTTTCGCCGACGAAAACTTCGTTCAGAGCCAGATTAGTGGTGGTTTTCTTTGAATGGAAGAAGCGGTTCTTCGGGTCTTTAACGGTCACTCGAATTCGGCTCCGACGAATCCATCTGAAAATAAAAACAGAGGTTGTCGGTTTAGCAGAGAAAGTACGAAAATTCAATTAAAAATGTTCCAATTGAAATCCCTCGATAACCTCAACCTTTTTAAAATATAGATTTATACTTTGTTCAGTCAAATATAGATTTATACTTTGTTCAGTCAGAACCTTTTTTCGTAACTTTTATTAAACTGTTTTTGAATAGTTTTACAAAATTACCTGAAACAGAAAATGAAACAAACTTCAGTTTTCCATCGACGAGTTGGCTAATAAGATCCCGAGGCGGGTTCTTCCCACCAACGCATAAATGACCTTCCGACCTGAAAACACTCGAGATAGTTGTGAAGAAATTGAGAGCTTCAGCCGTTGTTTGAAACATGAAATGAAAAGATTTCGCACCCGACTGGATCCGTGTTGACGCCAATGACCGGAGTGTCGTCTTTGACGGCACTCGCCGCTGCCAAAAAAGTTCCGTCGCCTCCTGGGAACGGAACTTGTTCGCAAAACCTTCCAGTTATATTACCTGCAGAAATGATGATATCCGCTGGCAAGGCGTCGCTCAGCTCGTTTTGCATCACGACCTTTGTGGTAATGTTCTCTTCGCTGGAGAAATAAAAAGGTGAAAACTTGAAAAGGTACGAAATTCTACAGAATGTACTCTGTTTTATACGATTGGATGATAAAAAAAAGGGCACTGCTGCATTTTTTACTGAACCAAATCTTTTCCGACTTTTTTTCAGTTTTCAAATCAAGATTCTTGTTCGAATAGGAAAATAATCAATTTTCAGATTGAGACAATTCTGAACAAGGTTGCACGAGACTTGTCTCGTTCTCGTCTAGAAACGAAATTCGTACTTCTCGATTTTGTCTCTATTTTTCGAGACCAACTTTCTTCTTGTCTCAAAAATTTCGATAAATTCCGAGATAGAAACAATACATAGTAGGTGGAAAAGAACCAATGTCTGGCGTAATATGTGATAGTCCCGATGCACCAAGAGCAAAGTAAATCGGAATTTGACGGTTAAAATGGCATAAATGTGGCCGAAAACACTCGAAAAACGGTTTTTTTATCAAAAACAGATCTGAAATTTGAAGTTTCGATTTTTTTGGAAACTTTTTTATTATTTTCGTTGAATTTCGAAATTTTATCTCGTTTCATGTTTCTTTCCTATCTGCTCAATAATGTTACGAAAAACTTTGACTTGTTCACCTAAGTTTTTTGTACTCACAAATGGGTTTCTTTTTCTATATCTCTTCTTTGTTTCAAAAAGTCACTTCTCGTGCAACCCTGATTCTAAACTAACGCACTGCTTCACACGTCATACATACCAAATTCAACGCCAAGGACTTGAAATTGCTTTCAAACAGAGTAAAATAGAGCTTCTGAGGCTGCTGCTCAATTCAAAAGGAAAACGAACTGGAGACGAGCGACGATTTCTGTGACGGCGTCGACCTGCTTTTTCTCGTTCTCGAGTATTTCGGCCGTATTAGAGCCAGTTGATGACAAATACCTGAAGCCCTTTAGTTTGTTTTTCCTCTCCAAAACAAAAAATTTGCACTTGACCCTAATAGCCCACACTAATGAATTCGATCAACTTTATGGGATCCGTTATCGCGTTAGTGCGACTTGGCGGAACAGGCTCTTTTCCCTTCATGAACATACTATTTTCGGCTTCGGTCAACACCCGTTTCGAGACTTTTCGATTTTGTTAATCTCTTTTCACAAGTATCTTTTGTGACGAGGGAAAGAGTGAAGAGAAAGTTCCCTGGTCAGAGAGGGAGAGTAGCCAAAAAAAAAACAAGACTTACATTTCTTAAAATTCATTTCACAATTAAATGGAATAAAACAAACTTTTTGAGTTCGACGTCCGATTTACCCGTTTTTTTGCTTCTCCCACTGCCATCGGGTGCTTTTCCTCAAGATCACCGCCGTCCGAAGAATCTTAAACAAAAAATTTATTTAAAAGCGATAAATAATGTCCTCAAAAAAAATCTTTACTTTTTTGAAAACCAAATTCTCAAGAAACTTTACTAATCGTAGCTGAATTGGTCTAATGAAAATGATATTTTAAAGTATCAGTTTTCGACCTCGAAAGAAAAAAACTCTTCCGTCTTGTTTACCTTGAAAATTCGACCCTACAGGTTCGATCCCCTTTCACAATTTCAACAAGATTCTAGATCAAATCAGAAGTTGAACCGAATAAGTTCCACATGAAATGAAAGATGAACACAAGACCCAAGGAACCGAGAAAAAAAATCTTACGAAAGGCCGTCCTCTGACGCCAGGAAGTTCGACGACGGGACTCTGCGGACGAATCGTCGACTTCTGCGAAACGGCAACCGCAGCCATTTCTCCCAGTTCTCTGCAACTCGTCGACATTTCCTTGTGTCCACTCGACTACTTGGTATAAGTACACCCGCAATACGGATAAAAACAATTACAAAGTGGGCGGAGCCACAAACTAAAGGTCAATTTACTGAAAAGTTGGAATCACTTGGGCGTGTAAACGCAATGGCCGAAAGTCATGGCTCACTCAGATTACAGTAACCAAATCTAGAGGTTTTAATACCTATTGTTTAAGGCTTTGTGTAGTTGAAAAATCGGTCAATTTGGTCCTCAGAAACTTTGAACTTTAATCGATGTTTAAATAAAGAGAAACTTGCTAGAAAAAGATTTTAGTTTCTTGATTTAAAAAAAGAACAGAATTTTATTGAAAAAAAAACGCGAAAAATCTTTAAAACAATTTTTAAAAAAAATCTCATGACGCCGACAATTTATGGACAGTCGAGAAAATACTTGCTAGAAAAAAAATACGTGTTCAAAAAAGATTTTGGTTTCTTGATTCAACAAGATGACAGACTTTTTTTTTGAAAAAAAAGGCGAAAAATCTTCAAAACCATTTGAAAGAATTAATAGACAGTCGAGAAAATGGGATTGACAGACTTCCTGACTAAAAAAAGAAATGAAACAAAGAACAGATTATCAAACTTTCGAGAAACGTCGCCAACTAATGATAACGCTCGGGAAAAAGTCGAGTTCTAAACGAAACTTTGAACTGACCTATCATCGAAACCACCAATGAAGAGCCAAATAGTGGCATTGCTTACTAGAGCCAGAAAGAACACAATGGTAAGATCCCGAAGTAGAAACTGCAGAAGCATTCAATCGATGCGATTTTGAGAATCGACCATATTTCATTCGAAAGTCTCATCGATGCATCAAAAAGAATTAAAATGGGCATATCAAATTTGCATGAAGCAATCAACTGTGAGAAAAAGATGGCGCAATATTTCTTTTTGAAATGCCAGAAAAAGGAACGAATTACCAAAGTAAAAAAAAAATCGAGTGAAAATGTGTACCTGGTGAGTGGAAAACAGGCGACATAAATACTGGGGAAAGGAATTTGCGATAGGAAAAACAATAGGTCAACAGGCCTCCCCGAGTATTTGCTCCAGGGTTTAGTCTGAGCCAGGGGAAAAAAGAAAACACCTAAGAGACTGCTTTTGGTCGAAATTGGTTGCCCACGCAAGTCCGAGTTGCAATTATTTGTTCCTTGGTCTCGTATTAGTTTGTGGACCATTTCAATCACGCCTGCTGATACATTCTTTCGAAACTAAAACATTTTAACAGTCATGATCAAAAGTAAAAGAAAGAACACAACTTTAGAGCGCGAAATTTTTGCAAAGTTATTAGGAATTTGTGATTTATTTTAGAAAACAAAGTGTTTGAAAAACTTCTTAACTAATCTTAATTTTAAAAAATTCCACGGGCGAGTCGACACCTTTTCTAACGCTTTTATTCATTTCTCGAGATGAAAAAATAAAACTTTATTACGATTTCAATCAAAGTGTTCAAAATAAAAACAAAAACACTCGAGAACAGTGTGAAAGAGAGATACGTAAAGCGTCAACTAACCCCAAACTACACTGATAAGAGGCAATTCGGAGGCTCATGAGCCAAAATAGCAAGTGGCGCGACTAGAACACCCTTTATACTGGCGGAAACGAAAAGAACCTAGTGACCGGGGCGTTTCAAACAAAATTCTTCGCGACTTGGCGACGCCGATGCATTCGGGAAAGAGAAAAAACCACTGCGATGGAGAGACGCCGAGAAAATTCCAACCTATCTCTTCTTGAACAGTTTTACCCTTCACGTGGGCAGACAATAGGAGGAATCGTCTTTATCAGTTGGAGTCTAGGAAAGAGAGAATCGAATAGAAATCACAAAATGAACAAATTTCGCAAATTATTGTTTAGTTCAAAAAGTTCGAAACAAGGTTAAAAAAAAAAACTTGAAATTATTTTCACCTAAAAACGTGTACAAGTTTGACTTTTGATCAATTTTTCTAACTCAAAGTTAAAAAAGAACAGCTGAATGTAACATAATACGATCAAGCCAAAACATTCACTGAAAAAAATATATATTTCTTGTCAGGGCGGCACAAACTACAAAAATCGCACAAAATGCACATAATTTTCTAAACGCTATATTCAGTCCTTATGACGTTGGTTTTGTAAATACAGGAAAATGACGAGTTCAGAGGCACGTGAATAATATAGTCACGACGCTGGTCGTATATTTCGGTATTCACTACTACCAGATGAAAAAACTTTTTTTCACAACTTCCAAGGAAAAGATAAATAAACTATTTAAGACCGCCTGTGCTAAAATTTAATTAATTTCAAAATTTCTAATAATATTTTTTTATAATCATCTTTTTTTATCTTGTTACTAAGCGGAGAGACGCCGTTGTCGGGTAAACTCAAAAAATGCGTTTCCAAGCGAAAAAAACGAATAATTGTCATCAAAACCGAAGAGATATGACGACAAAGTTCCAAGGAGATCAAACGGCAATGTCTCAAAGGGCCTCAAACAAAACTTATTTCGGTTTCACCTCTACGGTTCACCACATGTTCTTTGTTTAATCTAGTGGAACTCTCACAGTGTGTTTGAGTTGGCTCTCAGGAAGAAAAAGATAAGAGCAAAATTTTCATGCTTAAATGCGAGGATTTTGAAATGAAAAGCCAAACTGAATCATGTGATTATTGTTCTTTTAGAGATGAAAAGTCTAACCAACGTTTAGAACAAAAGTGAAAGAAAAATGACGGTAAACATAACAAATAGAAAAAGTAAACGACTGACCAAGAAGTCTAAAGAGAAAAAATAAGCGGTTGTTCCGTGGTTAAACCCGTTCTGGAAAGAAGATTGCGACGTCACAGGTCGCACCCAAAAAGATTTTGCTAAAAAGAGACCGAGCGGATAACATCGATCACTTCAGTCTTCAGTCAAACTGATCAGAAGGGCCTTGCAAAGAGATCGGAACACTTTGACTGACTCACAGTACAAAGTTTTCAAAAAATCAGAGACAACCAAGCTGGATGAAAAGAAGTCCGAAAGATGAAATGGTAACAAGAAAATATATCAAAAAAAAAAATTAATATTTCTGGCCGAATAGAAATTTTTCTCAAACAGAAGCCAGTAAAAAGTCGAGTAACACGTTTTTCACAATTCCTAGCTGCAAGAAAACTACTTAATAACACACATCAGGAAATTTAAGTGGCTCCTTGCTATCGCCACATCCGAGATAAGTTCATATTTTCACACCAGCTACGAATGAGAAAACATGAGTAAAACTTTTGGAAAACCATTGAGAAGGGAACTGTGATAAAAGTTCAAAAAAAAACGTTCATTTTTGGCGGGCCGAGCATCCGCGCCCCATAGAAATTTGGCGGGAAACCAAAAATTTTCGCATTTGAAAAATTTTTCCAATATCAATTTTTAAAGTTATATGCCGTTTTTCAGAGTATTTTCTGCGAAATGAAAATGGTATCTGACTCTCCAAGATTTAGTTGCATTTTTTTCTTTCTCTGACGGCAATTTCATTCAATTCCACTAATTCAATGCGGTTATCATTGTGAAATTTAATAAAAAAATAAAAATCTCTTCTTTTCACCCTAAAGTACATATATATATATATATATATATATATATATATATGCATCAACCTTTGTCTAAATCAATTTTTTTTTTCGAAAATAAAGATTCTTGCGTTTGAATCTCTGTTTGAACACGCTTTTTCGCTCATTTTATTCGTCAAGGTACTTTCATCTAGTCCTATAGTGCTATAGCTGATTCACGGCTGGCTTGAGCCATCGAAAAAATGGTCCTGACGATAATAAAAAAGGCAGTGCCTGGTTGGTAGAGAGCGCAGACACGCCACGTAAAAAAAAAATTGGGAAATTCAAACTTGGTCTCACTGAGCTCGAGTGTACCCTTTCACATTTTGGCCTTTCTGCGTCACAATTTCGATTGTCATTGCATGATTAAAAAGGGTTGATGTTTGCATTACGTGAATGTCCCTAGGCTCAAGTTTCTTGTCTACATTTGTCCATTTAAAGTGCGAATCTCTCTGGGAACTTTCCTTCTGAACTTTTTCTCCCTGCAGAAATCATGTCCAAGCTTCTCGCTGGCACTCCTCTGAAGCTCAAGGACGGTTCTGAGGTCGACGCCGGCTCGTACCTGGATGGAAAAGTTTTATTTTTATTTTTCAACGCTTCAGTTTTTCCTGTGATTCAGGTCGTCGGGCTCTATTTCTCCGCTAGTTGGTGTCCACCTTGCCGCGGCTTCACTCCCAAGTTGAAGGTACTAGGCACTTTGTAACAGTCTTTCTCCGAATAACCCAGTTGATGATGATCATTTATAATATTAAAAATGAAAAATTTTCAAGGAGTTCTACGAGAAAATCAAAAAGACGCACCCCGAGTTTGAAGTTGTGTTCGTGTCGAGAGATCGCGAGTCTGATTGTCTGGTCAACTACTTTTTGGACCACATGGGCGATTGGACCTACATTCCTTTCGGAAACGACCAAATCCAGTAATAATCAGTGGTAACTTATGAATGTCAGATGTACTTTTAGATATATTTTGTCAAAGTACGAAGTAAAAACTATTCCGGCGATGCGAGTCATCAAGCCTGACGGACAAGTTGTTGTGAAAGACGCTCGAACCGAAATTCAGGTTTGCTTCCGTTTTCATAGAAATGTTAGGTTCCTCCTGCGAATTTCTCCAAAGAAGTTGATATAAATTGACTTTACAGGACAAGGGAATCGAAGATCCTGAAGCTCTGTGGGAGGAATGGATGGCTTTCTACGACTAATCAGTATTTCTATATCTAATTTACTTGTTTTACATTTTAAATTTCACTCGTTTCCATTTTGATCATGATGAAAAATTAAGCAATTTTTGTATGAATAAAGTTGTTATTATTCTTACGCTTTCAAACACTTAAAAACTTTGAAGCAGTTTCGAACTAAGCTTGAAAATTTCAGGAGGCTCGGTCGGTTCAAAGTATTGGATAAGAAACTCGACCTATTCAAAATGGAAGCCTTTAAAATTCAAATTTTTTCCCCTTTATAAACAGTTTAATCATGAACCAATTCGGCGTAGGGAATTAGATTAAAGAAAATTGAAAATTTTAATAATACCAATATAAGAACCGATATTCGAGACTTTTAACTGCATCACTATCTCAAATACTTTACTTGGCATTTTTCCTCTTAACTTTTGCAAAAGTTTTCTGGTAAAATAATTTCCAAAGACCGTAGTTTTGTCGAGTCTAATGCAGTGAATGGTTGGAAAAACTTTAGATACGCTTTTTTTTGCCATGACCGGATTGCCACTACGCGACTGTTTGCGGAACAAAAACCCCCGAGGCTGATTGAGTTGAAATTTGTTTGCGCCTCCGACCGCAACTCGATAGTTCACGGAGCAGCTTCTGGGCGGCGTCTTCAGTTTTTCCTCTTGAACTTGAAACACTTCAACTGCCACTTCATTTTCCGAGCTTCTCACGTTTATCAAAGTTTTTCTTATTTTAACTTTGCCGAAAAAAAAAACTTGAGGCGTATTCACAAAGATTTGGTCCGTGCTCCAAGTATAATAGCAAAAGGAAGAGTTCGTCTGAATATCGCATAAATCAGCGAGTCTCTCGCAGCTGATTGCGGGCGGAGGACGAGAAGCGGAACTGGTCGTTACATGCCATTTCGCTTCTGCCCTCCTCACGTCGTCTCCTCTGTGCATTACTCGGCGTTTTTGTTTTCCTCACTTTTCTTTCAAAACTTTATCTAAAAAAAAACCAAAAACCCAAGTAAAACCACTTTTTGTTTCTTCTTTCATTTACGGCTTCAAGATTTCGTTTAAGCTAGATGTCGTATTCAAATGTGTCTGAGTGACGTTCGATAGATCGAATTGTTGAAAAGATTTTTTTAGCCTGCGAAAGCTCCACTCTGTTGAAAAAAAGTTCATTAATTATGACTAATGTACTACTTGTTGTAAATCAAGTTTTCGAGCTAAATTTGGGTTTATTTATTTTTTTAGTCGACGGTTTATTTTTTTCAATGTATGTTCCGAAACAGATAAAAGAAAAAAAGTTAAAAAAATAATTCTCAAGTATTTTTTTCATTTTCCAAACTTCCAATAAAGCATGAAGGAGAATCATTATAAAATTATCCTAATGAGCAAATCCCTTTCTGTGATTTTTTTTTAAAATCCAATTTTGCTCCATATTTTCCTAACCTCGTGTTTTGACTGCAATTTCGACGAGCCTCTCGCGCACCGCCAATAATCGCATCAGAGTGGTTTCCGGACGTTGCGACAGCTGAAGATTAAGAGTCATCGGTCGAATTTCGAGTGCTCTAATGGCTTTTTCCATATTTTCTCAAGAGCATGTCGAATTCAGTGGCAAAAAGCCTTTTTTTTAAATAATTGATGCGCGAATTCGAAACTTTTCCGTGTTTTGACGCATTTCTGCCTTTCTCGAGTGTTTCCCACCAACAAACGTGTCTTCCTTGGTGTCGGAGAGAAACAGAGAAGCCGACTATTATATGACGGCTGGCAGCCAAGTTAACACCCCTCAAAATCGAGTTTACTGCCACAAGGCCTTAGTAATTCTAATCAAATGTATAGGGTATTCGCTTCCAGTTGCCAATGTCCAGCTGAAATAAGTTCGAACACGGTTCCCAAAGCTCTTAAAGTCGAAAAAAAACAACAACTCAAGAATATTTTTTTTTTATGAAAATGGTGTCATCAAAAGTTACCAATTGTTTCAACAATAACCTCTTTTTGACTTAGGAGTTGTGACCTAAAACTACAATACAAGATGATCATCTTTATTATTAGCATTCGAAAAGCCTAAACATTTTTTGCGAGTTTAATCTTTCCGTATGAAACTTAGTCAAGATTTTGTGACACGCAAAGACGAATCAAGCAAAACTTAATTGGACATTTTCTTTCAGCTTAGATCTACCTTTAAATTTTTCCAAGGACTTTGATTTGTCAGATGATGCGAGGAAAAGGTCAAATGTTGTAATTTTTGCATTGTCTCGAAGCGTCGGATTGAGAGGTTCTAGAGAAAAAAGCAGAAGCCGAAAGATCTCTAGGTGAGATATCGAGTGTGCCACACCGCAAAACACGCGTTTCTTGCCATTTCATTTCATTTCCCGTTGTTTTTTCTGCAATTTTCCGTCGATGGCATCCAGATTTTCTTTGGTCAGAGCCCAATCATATCAGTTGAAACTTTGTAGTTCTTCTCAGCGAACGAAACATAGTGGGCCTTCAAAAAACATGGCAATTTTTCGAATACTTTTAATTTCCTTTTTAAAAGCGCCATGAGAAACAAATTCGCTGAAAGTTTCGAGAAACGAAGAAAAAGTTGAAAAGAGCATTGGAATGAATGCTTTTCTTTGGCCGCCTCAAAGTGCCTTTTTTCCTTCGGCTGCCGCTTTTTTTTTGCAACCTTTTGTTTTTACGGAACGTCATATTGTGATATGATTCAGTTGTCGTCGCCATTTCCTCAAATTTTTTGTTTCTGGAAGTATTCTTTCCAGTTCAATGATTGTGTTTCTGATGAAACTCGATTTTTACATGATTTTTTCTTCCTAAAATTAGCTGGAAATTTTCACCAGAATGAAAATCTTTTTTGTCTACTTTCTATCACGTTTGTACTAATGAATCCAATGAACATTCAATCGCCTTTTCCTTTACATGTACTGCTGACACTTTTTTTTCAGAATGTCTCTAAGATTTTCGGCATATGAATACGAAAGTAAATCTTTCTGGGGGGTTTAATGCAAAATCTACGTTCTGTTCGAAAATGTGTACTCTTCGTGGAGCCAACTATTATACTATGTGTGAAAAATAAAACTGAAAAGTGACTTCTAGGCGTTCAAAACTCGGAATGGAAGGCGCGTGGCCACACGTGCTTAGCCGTCTGCCGTTGGAAGACGTGGTCCGATGTCGACGAGTCTGTCGTCGGTGGGACAGCTACTGCGGCCACGTTTTGCGGACCTGCCGTTCCCTCGACGTGGAGGCTCAGTGTGGCGCGACCATTTCCGATCCGCTGGCCATCGCCTCCGTCGTCGGTTCGTTCGTGTTTCAAAGCTAATCGGGCGGAAAATGAGACGAGAGATGGTTGTGGCAAATCGTCGTCCCGATGTCGAACATTGGTGTCTTTTGCTAACAAGATATATTAGAATACAGTCTGAGTAATTATATGTTTCTCCAAAAATTAGTTTTTATTGAAAGTTCAGAGATAGTCATACATGTAGAAGCTCAAAATTCCTCGTTTATTCTTCTGTAATTCGTTATATATGTCTTACTCAGACCTCGCAGGAAACCGACGGAATCCGGAACTACAATATCTAGGGGAAAAAAAAAACGCAAAATTATCAACTCCACAATAAAAAAAGGTTTGAGAGATCCAACTATGAACTCAGACCAATGCGGCCGAAGCCTGCAGTCCGTGACCCTCCGAGTGACGGCCAAGAATGAGAAATACTCAGTTTTGTCGAGCGAATGCCACGTCACCAGCCAAGTCATCCGCTCAGTCTGCCGTCGGGCGACCAGACTCCGATCTTTGCGGATCGACAGGTTAGAAACTTGAGTAACTACTTGTTCTATCAAGTTCTACAAATCTAGGATGATTCTAACGTTGGGAGCTATCGAAAATTTTGTTCACTTGCCGGCGACTCTGCAGGTTTTTAAAGACAACAATCCAAAATTGTATTTTTTTTTAGGAAATCAGCATCACAAACTGCCTGATATCGTGCTCGACGTATGATGTGAACACCATAATTCAGGCCAGCCTTCAAAAACTTCTCGACAAATGCACACGGCTCGTGACTTTCGAAATAACGGTAACTATGTGCTTTTTAGTTCAAAATAACCGTTTATGGATTGAAGGGACGAGGCCTTTGCTTCGATCACTTTTCGCTGGACACGGCTGTTATGAGCCGGATATCCAACTCTATTAGGAATCTTTCAATTTCCGCCGGCAATTCTCTCAAAATCGACGAGCTCTCTTTTCTCAAGCACAAAAGGTAATCCGGACTTTTTCCTTTTCTACCTGTTAACGAGGGAAATCTCCAAGGTGAGCATCGCAAACTTTATAGTTTGTAGTCCTTGTTGAGATTTAAAAAAAAAGAGTCATCTGCTAAGCGCTACGGAGGGCTGAGAGACAGTAGATAAAAAATATGCAGAAACAGCTCGAAAACTGCTTTTTTCTCGGAATTTTCGGGTTGACCTTTTTTCGTGTTGCTAAGGATAGGATTATTCAGAGTAGTTAATTTTGAAACAGAAAAAAACCAAAAAAAAAAACAGTTCTCAATCATTACTTTTACGTTTCGACCACTTTTTCTGGTGCCCTCAGAAAATAATACTTTTCGTTTTTGAGTATTTTCATCTAGGACTGTCTACCACACAGTTAATTCCAAGTCGAAATACAGGTTAGAATCGCTGACCTTGCGACGGTCGTTCATCTCGGCGGCGTGTCTTCCGTTTCTCGTGGAGATGGCCGATTCCCTCCAACACCTCGACCTCTCCTGGTCACCCAATCTCCTCGACTGCACTCTCATCGGACAGCTTCCCAATTTGCGGTCCTCTCTTAATTTTCTTTCCTTTGAAGCTGTTTTAAGTGAGAAACACTTTACATTCTAGAAGCTTTTTCATAAAAATAAAATAAAACTAGAGCTCTTGAAACGTATTTTGGAGTACAAGGGAAAAAATTTACTTAGTTCTCCTGTTCTCCTACAAAAGACTTATTGCGAGTTCATCAGGCAAGATCAATGGAAAACCGTTACCAAAAGTATTTCAGAAGCCTCAACTTGGGGAACAACCGTGACGGCGTCACCGACGAATCTCTCGACGTCATCGCTGAGCAGTGCTGTCTTCTGGAGACTTTATCCGTCGAGAACTGCTCCCATCTCACCCAGCGCTCTCTCCAAAAAAATAGGTTTGTATTTTTGTATTTTTGATTAGTCTTATGTTATTATATTTTTTTCTCTAAAAAAACGCTTTCGATAGTGTAAAATGTGCCTTAATCAGAAGTCACAAGTAATCAAGTGAAAAAGAAGATTTCCTTAAACTTTTCCCTGAAAATACAGATACGATAACGATTCAGTGAAGCATGAGGAAAATAAGGCAAAAAATGCACCAAAGTAAAATTGCCAGTCTTCTTTCGCGTATTCTGAATATCTTCTTGATTAAGTGATGAGAAAAACCATTGTGATTGTTATCTTAAGGAAAACTTCAACAGCTCACTAAAATCTCGTTGAGCGGAGTTTCGAACGTCGACGACGAGGTCTTGATAAAACTGGCGATGTGCTCACAACTCAACTTTGTCGAGCTCAACTTTTGCAGAAAGGTTTCACTAAACCTTGAGTCTTTTGTCACTTTAAATGGTTCAGGTAACGTCTAGAGGACTCCTCACCTTGCTGCGAAGTTTGAGAAACCTCGAACGTCTGGAAGTTCTCGGAATCCGCGGCTACAGTCATCAGTTGCTTCTATCGTGCAACCACCGCGTCCCACGGAGCATAGTCTGCGATTCGTCCATTCCGACTTTTTCCTTCCCGATCCCTCCAATCCCAGGAACTGCCAGCGTCGTTTCCGCCTAGATAATTTTTGAATTTTTATAAATTTGTACAAAGCTTTATAGGTATTCTCTTTTTTGTTACTTAGTTAGATTGAAAATTTTAGTCTATTCGATTAGCTTCGACCAATTGAAACGTGTATAAATCTTGAACGAGGTTCCCATCTTCTCCCCAATCGCTCACAATCATGAGCAATATCCTTTTATGCACATATCCTTGTATTTCAATTTCAATTAATCACGATATTCTTCTTTCAAAAGTGCATCTAGTCAATTCCTAACGCATATCGGTGACACTTGATAAAAGATGAACGATAAATATTTTGATTTCGCGCAGACAATCGTTGTTTGTCTTCACAACAGAAAAACGATGCGCGAATGGCAACAAATCGGGTTTTCTAGCGGAAGTTGGCGCAATTGCTCAATCGGCCAATCAGGAAATTGCAAAATTGGCCAGAATAATTACTTTACGTTCGTGATACGAATCACAGCCCGTTAGATGAAACTGCTTGTGAAATGATTTTCGAGAAGCTCAGCTTGGAATCAAATGTGTAGATTGGCTCAACTTTAACAGTTAAAGTTTATACTTCGAAATAGCTACTTTTCCCAAAAGACTTCTAGGCTTTGTTCTCTCTGTCGGTAATTATATTTTCTTTGATAGGCCCATTTTCAATCTACATTTGCTCCGATGCCTCTGATTGCTTTCAGTTCATTGGAGTTCTAGGCCTTTCCCAACTGAGCTTCCAAATTTTTCTGACTCCCACCGGACCTACCGTCAGAAACCAATGATTATTCACAAGCACTCTGAAGGACGTGCTAGACATGAGGATTCATTCAGCACAAAATGCAAATAGACGACACACTTTCCCATAAAAAACTACCAGATTCGATGGAGCGGCGAAGTATGTCGCGTTTTTGACCACAAGAAAAAAAAGAGAAATTTTTTCCAATTTATCCAAAAAACTGAAACTTTCAAAAAATATTCTTTTTTACAAAAAAGAAAGTTGATGAAAACTGAAAAACTTCTTCACCATTACTCACGCATATTATAGGAAAAAACAAACCGGCGTACAACAAAAAAGTTTGTCTGTGAATGTAATTTTAGTTGAAGGAGAAACTGGAAAAATTTGGAGAGGCGACGACAAAGGTTATTCGAGCATGGAAGTTACTTCAAGCGAAAAAGTTGAAAAAAAAACAAAATTACCTTCAAAAAGTTCGTTCAAAAATAAAAGTGAACTGGTCAACTTTGACGCAGGTCCAAAGTGCCTTGAAAAATAATGTTTTCGAGGTCGGAAACGGCCTGTAAAATGTAGGCCATTTTTAAATGATGAATTTGCAGTCTCTGAAGAGAGGACAGGTGTCAAATCTACCATCTAGAAACACAAGAAATGCCAAAAGGACCTACATGATCAAAAAAGAGTAGAGCTCAAGCCAGAAAATGATTGGCGCCGACGGACGTTTCCAGTTACGGCACCGCCTGTCATTCCTCGCGCTGGACCGTGCGGTTATAAAAGCTCGCCGGCTCTGTCCGACACACGGCCGATTCGACTTTGCTTCCTTTTTCAAGCCTTCCCAAACCATTCAAATAGTCATTCTCATACAAAGATTCCTAATTTCAGCCGCAGAAATGTTCTCTTCGAAGATGATCTTTTCGTGCGCCTTGGTCGCCAGCTGCGCCGCCACCATCGTGAGTTGTTTAGTATTAATAAGATTCATTCTAAAGACGACTAGTGGCTATTTGAATTTGCAATCATTTTCTCGTACACGTCGAAAATTTGAGACACGGGTTCGAATTTTAATTAATGTATCAAAGTTGAATTTGAAACTTGTCCTTATCAAAAACATACCTATCGAAAATTTCGATAAACCTCCAATCACTATATTATTAAAAGAAAGTCTGAAAATCTGTCTGTACTTGGCAACATGAAAAGGAACCAGGATATGAAAAATCCGTAATTACTTGACTTGACATAAAAATCATACAAGTTTTGCGTGAATAAGAATATAGACTGCATTCGATAAGGATAAAAACACTCAATCTCGGACTTTCTGAAGCATCTTGGAACACCATTTTAAAAAAAAGCTGTCTTTTTTCCATGTTCAAAGTTTGAGAGAGCTTTTAATGAACGAGGAATTGAAACTCAAAGATAAAATAGGAAGTCAATTGTAACAACTTCCTTTCCAGATAACATAACACTCTTACTAGCCTTCAACTTTCATGCAAACAACTTCAGAAGACTAAATGTTTCAGTTCAACGAGGACTCGTTGGAAACGACGCCAGCCGACCAATCAGCCGCCGCGACGACTTCGACGGCGCTGGTCATCCGTGCCAAACGTCAGTGCGGAGGCATGGGAGGCTGCGGATGCGGAGGATCATGCGGCGGAGGCTGTATAGGAGCCGGATGCGGCGGAGGATGTAGCGGCGCGTCTTGCGGCGGCGGATGTAGCGGCGCGTCTTGCGGCTGCGGCAGCCTCGGAATGTGTGGATCGGTAGGCGACGTCGGCGGTTGTTGAGATCCTTGGACCTTCAGACTTGCTGTCCTTCGGCACCCCCTCCGTGCACTTGCGGAACTCCTGGCTGTGCTCAATGCGTCACCAACACCGTCTACGTTCCGGTGCAGCAGACGACCTGCTGCCGCTGCTGCCAGCCAGTTTGCACTCAGGCTTGCGTCAACGTAAGAGCGTCTCATTTTCTTGATACTTGACCGTCCGAGTTCTGCAGGGGGGAGGATGCAGCTGCGGATGCACCCGCGGAGGATGCGGCCGTAAGCGTCGCAGTCTTCTCGCTATCGCCAACGAAGAAATGAGCAAGAACGGCGACAGCATGATCTAACTTGAAGAACAATTTGTACCTGGGGTTCCACCTTCCAAAGGTCACGAAAACCCAAAAAAAAAACTTGCATTCCATAATTTATGTGAATAAAAAGTACCCAATTTATCTAATAGTTCACGGCTCACCGGACAAACAAAATGAAACAAATTGCAAATATTTGACCATTCAGCACCGCCAAATGCCAATTCGCCGCTGGACCTCTTGATATATTTGTTTCCGGTCCTTAATTTTTGTTTTTTCGCTTCTGAATTCGAAAAGAATTTTAATGACTGTAAAATTATAAAGGTTTCAGATTCAACTCGCGCACAAATCAACCACTTTGAAGGATTAAACAAAATGGTTTCAAAGTATTGAGTAATTTTTAAAAAGCACAAGCTGGACAAAAAAACTTACATTTTCTGAAATTCCCTGACAAACGTTTACAACTTTCGTGTCTTCGTAGTAGCAACCGTTGGAAAAATCGTGGCGAAGAGCAGTATGCAGAACAAGTCGACTGCTCGTTTCAGGCGTCCTTAAACCATGTTTAAAGAAAAATGAGTCGGAATGTTGATCTTTGGCTATACTCTTTTGAAGCTTTCATTTTGTAAAAGCGAAAAATTTTTCCGATTACAAAAAAAAGTAACTTTTTTTTCCTAAATATTTTCGTCTTTCTTTTTATTATTAAATATTGTAACCTTTTTTATTCTCCCAGAGTTCAACTCAAGTTCTCACTATTTGATGACAAAAATAACCTCATAAGATAAGGCAAAAAATGTCGGTTAACAAATCGAACGACACTATTTGCATTGCGATAAAGTCCTCCGGGCACGGTTCCCGGGTGCAAAGAAACGATGCTCCACGACCTGAAATTGATAAAAAACACTTATGACGCAGTTCTTGCAGAATTTCTTCTCATAATTGGTTTTTGAACATTGAAACTTCAACCAACGTCTCATCGATTATGGACATTTCTGATCCACAATCAACTTCTTTGGAGAGTTGGACAAATTTTTCAAGCTTTGAAGATATTTTTGCTCAATATGATTCATCTGTCTTCAAGCACTCTTTCAATTGATATGAACTTTTTTGATCTGACTTCAGCATACTGTACTTTTTTTTCGTGTGAATTGGTCACATTAAAAGCACAGCAAAAAATATATTTTTTTCATGCAAAGGTTTTTTGCACTTTTAATCTACAAATTCACAAAAGAGGCTTCAAAAGACTGCAAAAAACAACTATCCCACGATAAAGTTGGGTCAAATTTGGTATACGGTACATTTTGCAGAGAAAAAAGCGGGACAAGCTGGCGCAGAACGGGAAATATCCAAGTTAAACCTCTCTCTAGCGCTTTCGCTAACAAAAACCGCCAAAAGAAGTTTTGAGAAGGCGTAGGCTTGATAAGGCCCAATGTACTCTGATAACATGTTTTCTGCAATCTGTTGTCTTTGATTCTTAAGAAAAGTCAAAAACAACCGCCAAACTGATGATAGGAACATCTTGCTGTGGCGGAAGAGAGAAAAACGATTCTCGTTGACGGCGTGAACAAATTCTCGATTCTATCCAATAGGAAAGCTTGCGACATGACGTTCACCATAAAATGAGATTCGATTCCATCGATAATCTGTGGACATGGATTTTAATTTTCAAGTGAAAAACGCAGATTCTTATGGAGAAACGCAAGGAAATTCAGAGTAGGACCACAACATATCTGTGCGAAGACGCAATGGGATTTTTCTCAAAGAAGAACTTTCCCTACTTTCCCTTAGTTTTTTCGACTTTCCAATCAAACCTGGACTTTTTACTCTTTTTCCAGTCATAAATTTGAACGATAAAATGCCACAGAGAAGCTACGAAAGTGAAAAAAGATCCGTTTCGTAGCAATGATAAAATGGCCCATGGTTAACTCTTGCTGACTTTCTCGTGTTGAAAATCGAAAAAAAAGTATAAAACAGAAAAAATAATACAAAATTAGAACCTTACGATCAGCCAACATGACCCCGGCGCAGCAAACAACGAGATCAATTCTTGTAACGCTTTTTATTAAAGTTGCTGTCAGTCTTCGGACCTAATTTCACAAATTGTAAAGCTTTGTTGAAATTCTTCCAGAATACCTCGTGAATGTCCGAAAAATCGGCTTCATGCAAAAACAGAAGAGGATTGACTGGCAACGTATTTTTGTGGACGCCGTGAACCAAGGCATGAACTCGGAATCCCAACCCTAACAAATCTTTCACGACCTTTAAACCAGACTCTTAACTTTATGAAAATCGGTTTGAAACCTCAGAACCAATGGTTCCGTTCGCCCCGGTGACTATGACACAACGCAAAGGGCCTTTGCAGCATTCAGATTGAGAGATTTCTGACGAAAACGACTGAAACAACTATTACAGACTTGAGAATTTATAAACCTACATTTTTGTCACAGAGATGGTCAAAAATTAGCTCTCGGATAGCCAAAAAGGCTGCCAACAAGTAAATTTTCACCATGACCCAAAGTTCAATCAAGCCACACGACACCATCCTCTTTGGTTATCGAAAAAAATCTTTTTCCTAAATATTCTTATGAAGTTCTGATGAAAATCCTAGCATTTAAAATTGGATATTGAAGTAGGTGTAGGCTTTCGAACGTATCAAAGTCAAAACATAAGAAAAAGATAAAACTTCATTTCCAAAACGAAATAAAACATTAGAATGGGGATCCGTAGTTGTGAGTGGAGCCCGACACCAAGTATTTTTTTTTCACGAAACACAATGGGTACATGACTCAACGATTTTTCTCAGTCGACAAGATTTGGTCAGTTTTGGTCTATTTGCAAGTGCAATAAGTAAATTTTCAACGGCAAAAAAGAACATAATATGCAGGTATTCAACAAGTAAAATTTTGAAAACAAAAAAATGATCCCGAGTAAGTAAATCACCCTCGGGGCAAAGTGAAATGGGATCGAAAAAGTGAATCAAGACAGAAATGGTGTGACAAATCAGGGAGGATATTTACAGAGACGGTTATAATTTGAAACAAGAGAAATCAAACAGCCGCTTGGCTAATGGCAGAATTGTTGCGGTGAAGACGAGAAGCCGCCGATTTTTGAGGAGAGACGTTATCGTTCAACGAGTGCAGAGATTCGCGCAAACGAGCGAGCCGTTCCAAAACTTCTTTCTGTTTCTCCGAGTTCTTTCGCAGGTTGAAAGAGAGACGTGATGCCGAGGTCTAAAAGCTCTCATTTAGAAGGATTTTGAATAAAAACACACATAGACTGAAGAAGGAAAAAAAAAACCTACCATGCTCTGAAATTTGCTGAGACTAGGGGAAGCCTCTCGCTCAGCCAAACTCATCGAACTTCCGCGGAACTTCTGGCTTAGGTCGGCAAGAGATCCTCGCAAAGACGCCATTGACGGGCTGCGGCTCAAATTCGCTTCGGCCTTGCGTCGAACATCAGGTGAAAGAGTGTCCTGAAAACACAAATGTCAATCGAGGTATCCACATCGTCAGTCAATAAATAGGATACGCGGAGAGAATGCTATCGGAGTGCTATCCGGCAGGATACTTCTTAAGCTTAGTCAGCACTCTCAAAACCAGAGGGCATGGGGATAGTATCGGAGTGCACACAAATGGTATTGAAAGAGCAGAAAGTTAACCTCTGTAAGCTATTTATTGATTGACCGCGTGCAAATACCAATTGAGTTTGAAAGTGCACTCTCTTAGCTATTTTTGTGGATACGCCGATTTACCAGTGCAGTTTAAACGATCTTGAAGAATAAGTGTAGGAAAACTAACCTCAGTATGGACACCACACCCTTTCTGTTCGAGCTTCTTGAAAAGAATGCTCTGGCTCAATGGCGACTGGCGTCCCCCATTCAGATAGAACGATGGCGAGTCAAGAGCGCTGCGACTCCGAACCTAAACTGATTGCAGTTTTCTCACATGATTGGCGTAACATTCCAGGAATATTTTTTATAGAAGTGGGTGAACTTTAATGGGATGAAAATAACAAAACTGAACCTTGTATTCTTTGATTTCAGAATCAGGAGTTTTCAAAAGGTCTTTTGGAGCCATGTTCTCAGTAGATGAAGGCGCTGGAGAACGACTAAAAACAAGATTTAATTTTGAATTTCAGGATTGAAAACATCTGATTATCAGGACTCAGGCTGCCACTGCTGGTTTCTTCGTGGCTTTCGACGCTGCCGCGAGCCATTCCTTCCAATGATGGTGACATGATTGGTCTCATTCTTCGGCTTTTGCGAGTTTCAATCGGTGAAAAAAGAGCGCTCTGTAAAAGAAAAAACTAAAGTACAGCAAAAAAAAATGTAAAAATTTTCAGAAAAAGAATCGAATTCAAAAAAATGACCAGTGAGGAGACATAAAAATAACGTTGGAGAAACGGCGAGAAAGCTATAAATCAAAGACGGCCAGCCGCCAAGGCGATAAAGTTCCGATCATCTAACGACACGAGCCTTTTTTCTCAATGAAAACGTTTTGGGGTTACGATGTTTGCAAAAAAAAAAGGCAGCAGTCTGGGAATGAGAAATGAATGGAAAACTGAAGATAACAGCGTAGTCCGGATCCATTTCCACGACATATCAACTAGCTTATCACCACAATTTCAAGTATGCAGGGCAATGCTGCAAAAAACCTATACTTGGAACAATCAACAGTCTTCTATACGTCGAAAAGTAGTCTTATCGAGATTAGTGACAAACTGCTCCGAATTCGGTCAGCAAATGTACAAAAAATAACGATTCCACTTGAATTAAATGAATAACTAGAAAAAAATTGACCGTAAAAATAAAAATAAAACTTATATTCAGTGAAGAAAAAATATTTGAAAACGACAGAGAAGGCAAAAAATTTTATACCCCTATTTTTCACCCGTCTTTTTAAAAATGAATAAATTGAAGAAAAAAAAAACGCTCCTATCGCGTCATATAACTACGCCGCTTCTATTTTGCAATACAAACTCATGTTAAAACATTGCGAAATTAGCGATTATTCATCAAAAACTAAAATAGTAGCAACGTCCACAAAAAGTGTTCCACATGGAGCATAACGAAAAAAAAAAGTGACGATCAATCTCATTTGCGGCCGCACTCGGATTACAACGACTAGACGAACACTAAAAAGCTTCGAAAAATAATTGGCGGACCGCATTCTTTGGCTGGAGCTGGTACTGAAATATGAGAGCGTAGCCGAAACGAAAACAGAAAGAGAGGTGGAGTCTTCAAAGTAACGCCCTCAGGCAATGTCGTTATCAAAATCATTCAATTATGTTATCTACTTTTTTCGCAATTCAGCTAACGCCCGGAACGTCAAAAAGAGAAAAATTAATGTGTCGCCCACGTCATTCATAAAAAATCGTTATTTCGATGGAAAGAGATCGAATAAAAAACTGTACGTTCGAGAAAATTTTTCGACATGGTTCCCACGAATGTAAACCCTAAAAACGCCAAATACGTCCATAGCCTTTATTTCCAAATGCAAAGCAAGCTTTGTCAGAAAAATAAAGAAAATAGAAATCTACATTTGTCTAAAACAAAAAAAAAGAGAGAACCTTATTTCAACATCAAAAATAAAAACTTTGAGGCAGATTGAAATGTTTCTCGAACAAGCGAGAATAGAGCATGAAAACTCGAATGAAAAATTCAAAAATCCTTTTTATCAATCACCAGAGAAGAAAATGAAAATAAGTTAGAAACTAAATCGACAAACTAGTTTGTGAAATAATTAATTTCATATAAAGATCCGAAATCTAATTTTCAATAAACCTTTTTCCGTAGAGCACTTCGACTACTGAATTTACAGCGAAGAGTTAATGTGCCTTTAAATTGGTCTAGTTTCAAGGAAAAAATTTTGCCGTGTTCAAAGTAATTTCCGCGAAATGCAAAATGGTCTCTGACCCTCCAAAATTTAGTTATCTTTCTCTTTCTCTGACGGCTATTTTGAATTTCGCGGAATTACTTTGAACACGGCATTTTGTTTCAAAGTCTCAGGCACTGACGGCGCGTGTTTGTTGCCAAAAGTGCGCGGGGTGTCTCTTTTATTATTTTTTTTTTAGCTTTTTAACTAGTTGAAAATTCATAAGATTATCATTTTTCATGTCTCTTCATCTCTTATCATTGCTCTGCTCTAGAGCTCTAGTTTATAACAATTGGAACGCAAAATTTTGAATACCAAAATTTCACTTGAAAAAAAGTTTTTTTCATAAATTTTTTTCGAAAGTTGAAACTTCTTAAAAGAAATTAGAATAAGATTTAAATGTTAAATTATCACAAAACCACGAGTATTTCTCACAATTGCATATTAATAAGGAACGTTGACTATTTTTTTATTTCTATAAAATCAGCATTATGCGAAATTGCCATTTTTTTTTCTTTCAGGTACGGTGCAAAAAAATTTTTTTCGTAATTTTTTTAAGAGAAAAATTTTAAGAGTGCACAAAAAAATGAACGGACAGGAGCCCATGCGTTGCAAGAGAGCAAACAGAGGTTCAAGTAGTTTACACAAATTGAGAAAATGACCAAGATTCAAATAAAAAAATATACTATAGATTTGTAATGAAGCTTCGTTCGAACTATTATAGTAACCATAGTTTTTTCTCGTAAAAGTAAAAAAAAATCCTCATCAATATTGTTAGAAGCTTCAAAAAAAGAGAGATTTTTAAGGATATATATGTTCAAAAACAGCGACTGCTATGTTATGCTTTTTCTTTTTTTCAATTTTTACTTTCCGAATTTTTCCCCAGAAATATTAGTGAGCATAGAATCAAAGTCTGAATATTTTTTTGATTTAAAAAAACCTTAAAAGCGGTAGAGATTAATGAATAGAAAAAGTCAGCGGTTACGGATCTAGAGGACAAAATGTTAAAATTTAATGATGGCGAAAGGATTAAACTCACTGATTGCGCGTCAAAGCGATTGTCCCGTGCCGTTTGCCCCTAAAGAAAAGTTATCACTGAGCGGATTATAGCAGTAGGGAAACAATTTTGCACGTTTCCTTGAAACTAACGGCCGACAGTGCGAGAAAAATAGAAAATACAAAAAAAAACGAACAAAGGATTTTTTGTTCGTAGGGTGGGAAGGTTTGACAGGCGCGTCGATGTTATTCGAGCCTTGAGGACTTGTCAAGTTCAGCGGTATATTTCTGGGCCTGAGCAAAGGTTTCGACAATAGTATTTATAGCCTTTCGACGAGAAATTACCTAGTGAGAGGAGTAATCGGGGAGAAAAGCGGCTGTTTGAAAGATTCTTCATGTCGCGGCTCCTGTGAATGTTCTCGGCGTGTCACTCGAACAGAAGAGCGTCCGAAACCGCTTCTTACGAATTTAGATGCGTCTGGAAAATGAAAAATATTCTTAAAGGTTTTTTGAGCTTACAAAAGAAAATAATATAAATTGCCCAATACGTTAATTTTTTTTCTTTTTAAAAATTATTTTTGAATCTCACTCATTCAACTTTTCCCAACTCTATTTTTTGAAAAAAGATGATTAATTTGGTTATGGTTGTATGCCTTGTTCAACTAGTTTGTATGCCTTGTTCAACTAGAAAAAATGTTCAATTCCAATTCTATAAGTCTAGTCACTCACGACTTCCTGGAACTATTTACTGTTAAAATTATTAAGTTTGCGAAGCCATAAACTACAGATTGAAGCGAGTTTTTAAGTGGATACGAAAAGAATTTTTTGAAATAAAAAAAAATGTTAAAAAGAACTACAAAATGATGTCATTGTTTCTCTTTCACGCCTCGTAAAAATAACCATTTTGGCTAGTTTCGGGCATCTGACGTTGGTGGTTTTTCAAGGTTCCATTGAGATTTGACTCGTCGGACCCGACGCTGTTGTTTCTACCACGAACACTCTGAAGAAATTGATTGATTTCTAAAAATGCACTTGTAGTTGGTTCTCACCGTCGACCTCGTTCGCTCTTTTTTTGGCGGCGCGTTCTGTTCAATCTGCTCCCATTCAATTTTCTTCTGTCTCTCGTAATGAGAAACCTGAAAAGTCCAATCTGGCGGACTATTGGATACCAGGCCGAACCTCGCGAAGAAGCCGCTCTCCGGTCGCTTCATCCACGCCTAGCAGCTTTTTTTCGAGTTGAGGAAGCTCGGGACTTTTCTCAGCGGCCACCAGCACGTGCTTGTAGAGTCGGGCTTTCCGGAAGAGCTCAGCTTCTTTTTCTGCCTTCTCCTTCGCCTGGACAAACTGTTCTGTCCTCCTCTGTTCCTCCTGAAACAAAACTGAGATCCCGAGATGACTGCTCAATCTCACTCGTAGACGTTCTTCTTCCGCCTTCAAACGCATCAGTTCCTCCTGTTCACGCCGCTGATAACTTTCCGCTCGTTCCCTCGCTCTTCTCTCATCTTGTACACGTTCTCGCTCTGCATTTTCAGCGTCCATCCTGTGAGAGAAATGTAAAAGTAGTAGCGAAACCTTTAATAGAATCAAAAACCTCCTCTTCTCAGCAATCTGACTCTCATAGGTGTTCATAGAGATGGATCCATTGGAAGATCGAGACGTGCAAGCCGCCGCAACATTGGACCCTGGACTTCTTCTACTTGGCGACTCAGACTCTTCTAGAAACAAGCACGAAGCATAATTTCATCGTCATGAAAGTCATACCAAAGTGCGGGGCTTCTTGATAGTCGAAAGCTGGGTGAGAAACAGAATATTCTTCAGGGACAGTAATATTTTTTCGAGATTCAGGTCTGAAAGCGGAAGCCGCACTGACGGTCGAATCGCTAGAAATGGACCTCAGCATGGCCTGTGGCACGGCAACTGGTGGTGGAATGGGAATCCCCATGCGAACTGACAAAAAAAAAATGATGAATTGAGAGTTTTGGAGAAATTACTGACTTCCTGGGGCCATAGGCATGCCCCAAATGTTCGAGTTTTGCGCAGCGGCGACTTGTTCAGCGATCGACACTGGACAAATCGGCGAGCCGTCCGCATTCTGAGAGCCGCTATTAGAAATCACTACTCGAATGATGGGCTCACGTGGGTATTTATAGGAATGGCGCCTGGTGGGATCATGGTGAACTGTGGAAACGCATACGGATAACCCCAACCAGGATAAGGCTGCTGGAAATTCTCTATTTTTTGAAATGGATTATAACGTACATAATTAGGGCCAGCTGTTATTCGAAAAAGGTTACAGAAAACATTTTTTTTAAAACCTTAAACGAGCTTCCAAAGATGCAATACACAGAGGCGGATCAAGTCAACGAAAAATCTTTGGTTTTTTCGGTATTTTTGGATCAAAACAATGAAAAACAAGTGTTTTTGATGGTTGTTAGAGACTTTTTCCATCTTTCCCAACTGTCCCATGGGTTCAACTGAAGTGAGAAGCTTTCAGATTCAAGAAATAACTGAATGTATCTAATTTGAAGGATTTTACCGGATCATGTCCTGGATCAGGCGGTTGTCCGGAGTAGGCCATTGACATATGGTAGGGAATCATGTGAGGTGGGTAGACAGGTGAATAGACGAGGTTCTGTTGCGAAGCCGAGCTTCGAAGCGAAGCCGACGGCTCGGGAGCCTCCTGAGATTGGCAGCTCATTTCCAAGGAACAAGGATTAAAATGTCTTGGGTGTCATAAAATGACACTGCTTATCACACCTCCTTATCGTGCTATCAAAACTTTATTCACGGTTCATGTTGCGATTTTTTCAGAAAAAAACTGTCAGTATTGAAATCGAGGGAGAAAGAGAAAATTTTTCCTTTTTGTTTTTCAGTTGAAAATTTATAGTTAATGTTTCCCAACTTGAAAGGCGAGGGAGGCGGGGCAAGGGGCGGGACGCGTAGCGTGTGCGTACGCGGTTCTTGGCGCCAGTTCAATCGCCGCTGACTATTTAAAAAGCTCGGCAACCGCTCTTTTTTTGTATTTTCTACTATTTTGATGCACACATGATTATAATCAATAAAAAATCAAAAATAGTGAAAAAAAGCGATAAATAAGCTTTCTGAATGCTCGCTGGCGGTTGAATTCTCTTGCCTTTCAAGTTGGGAAACATTGGCTATACCTCATCGAAACAAATAAATTGCTACTTGGAAAAGCTATCACCGATTTCTTTGAAAAAAATAAAGATGGAGATGGAAATTTCACTTACCATGTTATTTTTCGATTTTTCTCGTTCTGCTACGGCTTCCCGAGAGGCTAACACTTTTTCTTCCAGCCGTACACCCTGCAAAATGAGAAATCTTAAGCCGCGAATTGAAGAAAAAATGGAAAAAAAAACTCTATATTTATTTTGGAGCACTCGATTCATGCAAAACAAATAAAGTTCATCGAGTGGAGAGGTACGACCGTATTTGGGATGGAAATGTTCCCTTAAACATCGGATTAGAACGTCTAAAAAGCTGTTGTGATAGGAACGTCGGGAAGCTATTTTGAGGGTTTTTGACGTGAAAAAAAAAATCAACAAAAAGAGTTGGCGAGGCATCAAAGAAGAAATCCTGCGAGTGGGAAATGTAAAATGTTCAAAACTAAAAAGTGGTGGTTGAAGACAAAAAACAAAAAAATTGAAAAAAAAGGCTCAAAATAATTGATTAGCTATAAATTTATATCATCAAATGAAACTTGTCTCAAAAACTTCAGACTCAGTTTCAATTGTCTTTTTTCAAAACCCTGCCGCACATTTTATCGCGATCGGTAAGGTTCGCGAGCCATTTTCAGTAAGGGATAATGAATTTATTTAAACTTGGCTATCGGTTCTTTTGGCACGTCATGCTGACTTTTTTTTCGACTTAGAGTGATCAATTAAAAAAAACCTGTCATAATAAAAATCGATAAGAGAGGTTCGGTTCATGGAAATAAGGGTGAGGAAGCGGAAGAAACCATTCTCCGCGCGGAAACCGCCGGCAGGAAGCCAGAGGCCAGTCGCAGAGTCAACAAAATGATGCTGGTGATGATGATGATACACATAGGAAAGCTCATTTCCACTTGGCGCCTATTTGTCGACACCCGCCGCATGTCCGCCTGCCGGCCTATGGTCCTCACCAATCGCACAGTGTTCTACATTGCCAAAATGGATATTCCCAACCAACATAGGTAAAACGGAAAAATTCCTTTGAGGATCCTTAAAGGATCCTGAGCGGGAGATAAAAAGCTTCCTCTAAAATCTCATAAAATGATGTAAAAAAGCTTCTGAGCACCTTTTTCATAACCTCAGAGGATCCTTTTTGAATCCTCTCGAATCTTTTTAGTTGCTTTTCAGCATCCTTTTTGTCAGAGGATGTTGAAAAGATGCAAAAAAGAATTGAAATGATGTAAAAAAGATCTGCTGGGGACCCTTTCAAGGTCTTTTTTTGAGAAAAGCTTTTGGGGAGCTTTTCAGTTTTGCCCGAGAAAAGTTACAACCAACTTTAGAAAACTGAGCAATGTGGAGATTGTTTCTTTTTGAAATTTTCAGAGTATTCCCATTCTTGATAGAAAATATTTTTCACACCCAAATTAGAATTGTTCAGTCGAATCCTAGTCATAGACACAAAAAGTTATGGGAAGTCGCGTGAATAGACGACCTTCCCATCGACTTTTTCAATAAAAAGCCTTCTAGTAGGTCAAGTTGAGGTTGAAGAGACCTCACAAAAACTTTCATTTAACAAGTATTTTTTTTAACAGTTTGAAAAATATTAAAATATTTTCGAACAGTACCAATCATTTAAAGCTCACCGAAAAAAAGAGCTAATGAACGAAATATTTTTGGAAAAAGGTGCAAAATGAATGGTAAAATTGTTTCTCGAACATTTAAATGAAAAAGGATTTTAAAAAGCTTTTGAAAAAAGCGGGGCTCATGAATAAACAAAATGGTGAAAGCGATTTGGCGAGGCCGAATAACGGCGTCACGGGGATACAAAAGGAACCTGTCAGGTCAAACCGAGTTATTGAATTATGCACGAAAATCTTCGAAATGCAAATCTTCCAGCGAGTTTCCAAACTAGACGAAGATTCGATTAGACACAAGTTCGAAAAGACTTTCCTCAATTGTCCGATTGGCCAAGTCAAAAAAGCAAAACTAGCTTTAAAAACAGTGGATTTTGAAACGCTCACCAATTTAATATCTCTATTGTTGAGGAAAATCTTTTCAAAAGCTGATAGGAATCAACTGAAGAATGATTTCATTAACAGGAAAAGGAAGAGAAATTCGAAAAAAGATAAGAGAGTGGACACAGCTGCAGAACAGAAAGTTTTTGAGCCACATGTCGACGGAAACTCGCGGGTGAATTCAACGGTACGATATGAATAGGAAGCGACGAAGAAAGAAAAAAAGGACATGAAAAAGCGGGAGACCGGTGCCTCGCAGCTGCACCCAGAGGAGAAAAGTCGCGATGCGTTGCACACTTTGCACAAAACTTCAATGTTGGGAAACATTTTTGGATCATTTCCAGCCAGGGACAGAATGCGATTAGCAATCTTATCAAGTTTTAAAATCGAAAAAAAAACACTCCATTATGAATTTTTTTGAAATAAAACTGAAAGTAATAACAGCGAGTCCGAAATTTTTTGGAAAAATCGAGCTAAAGCTAAGCTTTTTTGCTATAATTTTTTTCTACAGAACGCCATAGAACAATTTTTGAAATTATTGGAAAAGCCGCCTGGAAAGGTTATTTTCCGTTTTATCACACGTGATGGCCCACATTAAGAAAAAGAACCCGCGATGATTACAAGGTTTTATTTGAAGAATCATGAGCACGCGTCTCGTTAAACGCTTATCGCAACAGAGAAATTTTGGTGGAAAAGCTTTTGGGTCAATCCGAAGACTGAAACTGCTCAGAGAGTTTAATCTGCTAACCTTTCGTTCAAACGAAAAATGACGCTCTAGCCTTTCCTTGCTCACCAATCAAGGGCAAAACAGAACCTTCGAATGCCCTTATCAAAACAAAGAAAGCAGATTATTTTTCTCCTCTGAAATGTTTCAGCCTCAACTTTACAACGCAACAGCTACAAAAGTTCCGAAGAAGAATGTTTGAGAAAAAGACAAATGAGCCGTGAAGCGAAGCGTCGGCTACCGTGCCGTGAAACATTGCGGCATTTCACATCAAAGAGTTACCAAGGTCGGTTGAGTCATAAGGACAACTAAAAAAAATGACGGTACAAAAATGGCGTCATGCTATTTTCAATATAAAATGCCGTGAGAAAAAAAAATGTATTTTAACTGAGGGAAGAAGATCGAGAGGCTTCAAAAGGGAAAATTATGAAAGCACAGTGACTTTAACAATATGTAAACAATGAAACTTGGCTTTGAAAACAACGTTTAGAAAAAAATATAAGGAGCGACAAATTCCATGAAAGACTTCAATGAAAAGAAAGTTATTGCAATGTCAAAACTGGCAGATTATCCGAGAAACAGTTCTATTGAACAGACTGACCACATCTGGATTCGCACTGGAAGTGCTCGGCTGTGTCGGCGTCTTTGATTCAAACTTTCGGTTGGGGGAACCGCCGCCAGGAGATCCAAAAGGGAACCAAGCCGTCGCGTCCGCTTCATTTTCTGCAATGAGAAACATTGGCTTCAAAGAACCGATGTGATTGATTAAAATATAAAAGACAACTTTTCAGCTGTTTGTTTATCTTTTTTGACGCGAAGATATCGTACTTGAAAACAAAAACTTCTTTTCAATGACCTTTCTACCACAAAAATGCGATCAGCCACAATCGCCTTGAAAAAAATTTCGTAGATTTTCTCCTCTTGATTATTTCCGTTAAAATTTCTTCAAGTCATTTTTTACGGATCCAAGTCGTGTAAAAGATTCAGGAATCACAAGCTCTTCAAACATTTATTGAAAAAAAAAAGTGAGAAAGAAATTTCAAAGGATTTTAATTTAAAACAACATCTTGACTTGTCGGAATTCACATGAATCAGCCTCTTGAAGCTGTTCAAAAAGGCCGAATCATCATGTCTTTGGTTAAACCATTCAAATTTGACAATTATTCCATTTTCTCACTTTCGCCTAATACCCTTTTCACGCATAAAATCCTAACTGCAATGCGTTTCGCTTCAGGAAACGAAGGCAACAAGTCAATCTGCCAGCCGCCCGATTGTACAATTGGCAGTGTTCGTGGGAGCGCCAGATTACCATCTAAATGGGCGGATATCGATCGTCCGTTCCTTTTTTGTTGCAGACTGCGTGGAGGACATTTGAGACGTGAGATAGAGAGCTCGGTAGCCTCGATTAACCTAACCCGTTTGCACTAAACCACCTGTTACACAACCGCAATTCATCCTAGCCACATGAGAACCCTCTTGCTCATGTTATGGAAATCAGAGTTCGATATAAAAGAAAAAAGATTGAAAGACGGAAATGTTCTAGGAATGAATATTCCTAAAATTTGTGAAAAAAAAAACTGAAAAGTCGTCCGATTTATTGTAAACTTGCTAAAAACTGGTTTACAACTTTCAAGCAGATATTTTTTTCCGTCTTGTGTGGAGAATTCACAGAAACGGCTCTGATTCCCCTCTCAACTTTGAACAGAGAAAACGGCCCGCTTTTTAAATCTTATAAATCGTTCCAGGCGCTCAAATAAATGCAAGTCTATAAAACGCAACAATCACACACAAAAGATTGAAACCAAAAAGACGGGCGTGATTCAGAGGCAAAATAAACAGATTATGGGAACACACCTTTCTCTTTGGCCCACTGCTCCTTCTTGCGCTGTATGAGCGATCGGCTACGCTGCAAACCGCTCATTTCCACTCGAGCTGCTGCATAAAATCACTGAAATAATAGGAATGGCTAGAAAAAAAAAATTTACACACGACACAATTAATATCTATCGTGAAATGAACTTTGTAGGCGTGATTTTTTTTTTATTGTTCAACGTCGAAGCGTTGAAAATATCATATTTTCGAGCAGCATACTAGGAGTCTATAAAATGAGTCAAAAAATGTGATAAGAAACGAAAATATTGGGAACGACCTAAACCCTGGGGTTTGAAAATAAAAGTTACTGCCGCGCATGTAAACAGCAAATCGAGCAAAAATGAGAGCAGGACAGAAATAATAAAAACGAATCTCGATTTTGTTTGAGTTGACTACTACTATCCATGTCAAAACAATGATAACTGTCGTTTTTGCATGATTGAAAAAAAAAACATTTTGAGGTACTCGAAATGTTTGGAATGCTTGTGTGAAAAATCCTGTGGATTACTGAAAAGCTCTGAAAATTTAGCTGGTAATGAGTAAACAACAATTTTTTAATAAAAGTCTCGGCAGATTTAAGGAGTAAAATGGTGGAAAGGCAGAAAAAAAAATCTTTCCAAAATGGTGACGTATTTTTCTAAGCAGGAAGAAAAAAGAAGCAGTACGGTCAGTTGTTCTCGGTGAAAAAAGGAAGGAGGTCCGTTTGTTGAATAAGAAGAGTAAGAGGCAGCAGCAGCAGAAGACAGAACAGAGGAAAAGACGCCCCTTGGTCCGATTTTCGTTTCCTCCCTATTGTGATGCATGCGTGGCATGCTGTATACCGCCTCCAATGCAAACCCGAATACTATAAAACTAATCCCAGGCCTAGAGGCGAGGCACATTTCTCGCTACCGCCTGAAGACGCCGATGCCAACGGGTAATTGAGGAATCTCTATCAATTGCTTCGATTCGAACTTGGATGTTTGAATGGGTTTTCCAAGAAATTCCCGCCAAACAAAAACTTCGACCATTTTGAAAACTGTAAAGTAATCAAATTTGAACCATCCGTTTTTAATATCTATCATTTTTTTTGAAAGAGACATTAACTCAAGACTGATAATGATTATTTTCTGACTAAAAAAACCATGAAAACTAAAAAAGTAAAGCCGAAAGATTTCAGAAAAACTATAGGTCCAAAAATGTATTTTTTTGTTTGAGACAATAACACCTACAAAAAAATATGAATGAGTATTTCATCTTGTTGAACTAACTTTCCGAAATATAAAAAGATAGCTCTAGTTTTCTGAAATTGCAAGTTTTCGATGAAGAGTGAAATTCATGAAATAACTAACCACACCAATCCCTTTGAAAAAGTGATATAGAGGAAAAACGCGAGATGAAAAATAGAGAAGAAAAAATTTTCAAATGGCGCCGTAAAAAGTTTGAAAGCCGATTTTCACCATGGAGCATCATTGCTATGGAAAAGTTGGACAAGAAAAAACGTTTTTTTGGTACTTTGAAACTCTTGTATTCTTCAAACACGTTCTTTTTTTATTTTTATTATCCGAAATTTTCATTCCGTGATAGGTAGACGAGATTTATCGCGTTTTGAGCAACTTGATAAACTTTTTTTAAATGATTACTTTACAAAGCTTTGTGTGTAATCATTTTTTTGTATATCCAGTAAGATTTTTCTCTTCATTAAATTTTTGATGTTTAACTTTGAAACAATAAATCTTGAGAAAATTCAAATATCGGTTCTAATAACTGCTGATTTTTTTCACAGAGTTTGTCAAAAGACGTCACTAGGGTTAAGCGACAACTGACGCAAACAGTAGTTCGCGAAGATTCTCAAAAAGGTTTTTTTCTCTAATTTCATCCAAACTTTTCATATTTTTATGTTTTTAAATGAAACGTATGCATCCTGAACGGCCGCTTACCTTATCGACCTATTCGGTGCAACTCTTCTGCGCGAATATTCTTTCGTTTCCATAAGTCTGTCTGATAAAAAAGTCATTGAGTATAAAAGAAGATTTTTTTCCGTTAAAGAAATTTTTTTTATCAATTGGATGATTCAAATTTCTTGGTGTTTTAAAAAATTCGTAAGCTTCCGGTGAAACATGCGCACTCTCGGTAGAACTGAAAGGTTTGAATCGGACCATGTGTTTTGTTTCAATGCTGCGTCTAGCTTCTCTTGTCGGCTGATTTTCCCTCGTGGGTAAAAAGAGGGAGAGAGAAAGAGAAAGAGGGACAGAGAAAAAGGACGTTCAGTTCACGTCGCGCGCCTTGTCACGAATTGTCGGTGGCGTGATCTCCTCCAGCTTCTCGGTCACTCCCAGTCTTTTCTTAGACCGACTTCGTGCTAGTTGGTTCTAGAACCAAACGTCTCGAGATGCATTCGAGTCCTAAGAGTTTAGAAAGCCGTTCCAGTTCATAGCTTGCTTTCAAGTTTCTCATTTTTTCGAAATGATTTATTTTTCTTTCCATTTTGACCATGTTTTCGAAGGAAACCGAGCTCAATTTTTTCACCTCGGCAAATTTTTCCATTTCTTTTTTTAAAATTGTTTCTGGAGCGAGTATTTCTCATTATATTTTGTTAGTTTTTACGTTTCACTCACCTTCAAGTACATGACTTTTTAAAAATTCCTTTTTTTCTACATCTTTTTTTTTTAAATAAAAGTTTATTCAGTTTAAGGTCACGTGAAATTTTCGATGATTATCCTTACTCCAACTTCTTTTACCGTCTTTTCAAACGTTTTATCTTCTTTTTTTTCAGAAATTGAAAAAGTACTTAGTTTTAAGGCAATGTCAATCGCAGCACAAAGACACTCTCGATACCTCCTCTCAAGATGTTCAAATCCTTCCACCGAGAGGAGTTTTTTCAACAGTGCCAACTTTTTAGGTTTAGTTAACTATGTAAATTTGTTATAACTTTTTTTCTCTCAGGTGGCGCTTCCTCAGTCCCAGGAACGTCAAGTCCTCCAGCCAACACTGTGCCGACCAGTTACAGCTATCTTTCCGATATGCTCAAGTCGATCGCCACCAAAATCGAAGTGAGCCTTTTTCAATCAAAGAGAGATTTTTTTCGACTTTTCAGGCGCCTCTGAGTTACATTGGGACCGTTAAAAAGCAACAACCTCCCGTTATTTCGAAAGCCGAGTAAGTTTTTAGCTAGTTTTTCAGTTGAGATTTGATTATTAGAGTGAGATTGTAAATTTCATTGAGAATGAGAACAATTTCAAATGGTACATAATAGAGAAAAAAAATCTTCTCACTTTTTTGATCGTCGTTCAATTTTGAAGGGCCGTTAGGAAAAGCATCGAAACGAGGACTTCTCGAACTGAAGTTTCGAAGAAAACGCGCGCGATCGTCAAGAAAATGCTCGTTGCCGAAACAGTCCAGTCGCGAATTCTGCGGATCCAGCAGCTCAGCGAGCACATCATGGCTTTCCCTCCTACTCGTGTTTTGGCTGCTCAGGTACCTCTCGCCTTCTTTCAGAAATGTGCTTCTCTGTCTCTCTTAATTGGTCTGTTTTCCTGTTCAGCTTCTCGAGGGGTTATTCAGTCAGAGTGGTGCGCGAATCTTTCTAAAAAGTAGATCAAAAGGTTTTTGAAGAAAAAGAAAAACATTTTATCAAACAATGAAATTGGTAAGACTACCTAGACACTTGAAATTGATGAAAATTTTACAAAATTTCAGTAATTTGTCTTCCCGCCTTTTCAATTCGATGAAAATTCAATGGCGAGAACCATATTTTAAGTGACTCTATTTACGCTAAAATTCGAAAGAGATTTTTTTTTTTTCGAAATGGATGAAAAATGAAATTTTTGAGGAGCCGCGACTTGTGGCCGACTTGTTCCGCGCCGTCCTCCAATCCACGGACGAGACTCTGAGACAAGAAGCTCGGATGTGTCTGACGCTCATCGGATACCAGCCTCCGCCCAGAAGTCGAGGTCATTCATTATACTCAAACACGAAACATATGTGGAAAGCAGATTTTCATCTACTCAAGAATTTCCAGGCGTCAACGTTCTGACTATTGACGGTGGCGGCACGCGAGGAATGATGGGACTCGAGGTTTTGGAAGCGATCGAGAGGATGTCCGGCAAAAAGGTTTCCTTTTTTCATACCTTTTCTAGTTTAAAATTGTTTTTCTCTTCTTCTTTTATGAGTATAGTTATCATTTTTCTACTGCAAAGTATTTCTTATTAGTAGGAAAACCTTATAAAAATTATTTTCTCTTCTTGTACTGAATAAATATCACCTTCAAAACTGGAAGATTGGTCGAATTTAGAGTTTGTTAATCACTTCGCGGAATTTTTCCCGACATTTTTAAGTCATGAAAGTTTTTGTGATCCTTCAGATACATCATTTTACGTATTTTGTTTCTTTGAAACGGACAAATCTAGGACAACTGTCAACTATTTTCCTGTCTGCTGTTATTTGTGTTGGTGTCATGGGAAAGTGCGGACGGCATGTTTTTTTGGCACGTCGGGGGAAAAGTCACGTGGCCAGCGTGCCACGTGGCTGAAAAATGTGGTCTCTCAAGTTCAAATAGTGGAGGTGACTCAATGATGGCTGATTCTCGAGAAGACACTATGGATTTCCGAGATTTCAAATCGAAAATAGTTGATCATGTATTCAAAAAAATTTTTGAAATCCATATTTTTTTAATCGCTATTGCAGGTTTCCATTTTGAGGAAATAAGAAAAGAAATAAAATGAAGTAAAAAAATAAAAAAATTAATTGGTTTCAAATTCATGGAGGAGGGAAATTATTAAAATTTTAATTGAATTTTTTTGTATATTATATCAAATGTATGATGAAGTACCCACTCTACAGGATGAAAATAGAAAAGAAAATTCTTTCTAGCTCGTTTTTCTGTCAAATAAAACCATCAAAAAGCGGATAAAACTAAAACAAAAGTGATTTTGATATTCCCAGCAATTTTTCTGCTTCAGATCAATGAACTGTTCGATTTGATCTGCGGCGTGAGCACTGGCGGAATCTTGGCCGCTCTGTTCTCTTCGAAGATGTACACGGTCAAAGAGTGTCGCGAAATTTACATGGAAATTTCTCAAAAGTAGGAAACCGGCTGTCCTTTCTCTGATCGAGTCGATTTCTTCCAGACTTTTCTCTCAAGGAAAGTTCCAAGGCGGATATGGCCTGCTCACTTCGCATTCCTATTACAACACGACTCTCTGGATGTCGATTTTGAAAGAGGTCTGAACCCTTTTTCGGTTCATCATTCAATCGTTAGTCTCCAGATCATCGGAAACAACTTGCGGATGATCGACACCTCTAAGGCTTTGAATGCGCCTCGCCTCGCTATCGTCGCTTCCATCGTCAATTTCCCCACTATGCAGGTACCTTTTCCTTGATTCGAAGGAACTTTGATGTTTCTTTTAAGCCGTTCATCTTTCGAAATTATGAACATCCAGCTGGTAGGGACTCGCACTACCGTGGTGGCGCCGAACACCCGCTCTGGACCGCTGTTCAGGTTACTTTCCAGCTATTTTTTGGTAATATTGTTTCAAACTTATCAAAACCATGTTTTGTTATTTTTAAAATCATTTTAAGGCTTCCGCCGCCGCTCCTTTGTACTTCGAAGAAGTGAAGCTCGGCAACTTTCTCTTGCAGGATGGAGGTGTACGTTTTTTCATACGTTTTTTTTTGTAGTTTTTCGTATTTTCAAACATTTTCTCATTTCATTTCCATAACCTATTATAGGTTTTCGCAAATAACCCGTCTGCCATTGCGATGCACGAAGCCAAGCTCATTTGGCCTACGGAAAACATTCATTGCGTGGTTTCAGTTGGAAACGGTCGATCTGTAAGTTATTTTTCTCCTTTTCTAATATTTTTATTTTTATCTTCCAAACCATTGAAGATTTTTTGTGAAAAGGCAAATTGAAAAACAAAATCAGAGAATTCAATAAATCAAAATTGAGATTGAGAGGCGGATTAAAAAAATGTGATTTTGAACATTTTCCGTGTTATTTTGGAAGCTTTTCAAAGGTTTCCCTTCGAATTTATGTGCTTAAGAACAATTTTTGTAGGGGCCTTGAACCAATTTCAACTTCGAAAATGTTAAAGAGAGATAATGATACTTAATATACAACATTGAGATTTATTTTGGAAAGATTTCCGGTATAAAAAAGTTTTTTCAAAGGATTTTACTTCTAACAATCATCAGAAGAAGTTCAGTCACACGTAAGTTATTAACAGAAGCAAAAAAATGAATTGATCAATGATTCCGTAGGGCCTCTGCCAGTAAGATAGAAAGTAAGATAGAAAGTTAGACACTGAGTCAAGCCATTCGAAAAGAAAAACCTTAATGCAGATTATATTATTGTAGATTTTTAGGTCCTCCACATGGACCCTCCGACGACGGTGATGTCGACGTCGTTCCAGAGCAAATTGATGCGAATCATCGATTCCGCGACCGACACCGAAGCCGTCCACATGTGCATGCACGACATGCTCGACCAGAGCGTTTACTACCGGTTCCTTTTTGGCAAAATACTTTTTGAAAGTTCTGAAGGCAAACAGGAAAATTTCAACCGATGACTCTTGTTCGTTTTCTGCTTGTTAATCATTTCTGAAGAAGTTTTTGGAGGGGAACTTTGCGATTTTCTTGTTTTCGTCATTTAAAATATTTCAAGAATATATATTTGAAGTCTATCTCATATTTCAACTTCTTACCCCTTTTCAATACTTTCTCCGTTCTCCAAAAAGTTTTAAAACAAATCTAGGTAGAAAAAGTTTAAAAATTACTTCTATGAGCTATTTTATTTCTAAAAGAAGAATCTTATTTGTTCTAGTTTCAACCCGTACATGACGTTCTCCTACGGCTTGGACGAGATCCAGAAAGACAGGTTTTTGGTTTTTCAAAAGTCAAAATTCATGAAATGTCCTATTGCAGGCTAGTACAAATGCAGAACGATGCCAAGCTGTACGTCCGTCGAAATTCTCTGAAAATCGAGGCCGCCGCTTTACGCCTCACTCAGGTAGACCCTGAGTCTCCCATCAACTTCAAAGTTCCTTTTTTTCAGGAGCCGACTCTTTGGCAACGCGCCCAACGGTCTTTCACCCAGTTCAAAGACCTCAACGGATATTATTCGCCACAATAGATATTTTTTAAAAAATACTAGCTGAAAATTTGTATTTTTTTTGTAAATACCTTGTGTATCGTATGTAAAAACTTGTAATATATTTGTTACTAACCACTATTATAGATGTTATTTTCAATTTCACCCGCTTCGTAAGTGTAAATATTGCCATGCAGATCCGGTTAATATTGTGTAAATTTCTCTTCTTTCTTTAATAGGTCTTTACGCGATAAATTTTTTTCTTTAACATTGTTCAAAATCTACTTTTGTTTTGAAAAGAGGTGTTTATGTTTCAGAAGCACTTAAATATTGATGAAGAGCTCGGGTTTGAAGTTTAAAAAAGGTTTTACTGTACTGATCGAACCTCAGTGAACGGCGAAACTACATTAAGAACAAGGCTGAGAAACAGCCTTACGTTTTTTTTCTTCGAGTAGTGAAAAAATCCGGATGACCTTCAACCGAAAAAAGATTGAATCATTTTTAATCTGGCGGCTCTATCTTGGAGAACTATTTTCTAACGAACGTTTCTCACTGAAGGATGCATTCCGCATAATTCTGTGATTTTTAGAGTCGCTCAATCTGTTTTGAACTCGGATAGGTCGTCGAAAAAGCTCGGAAAAATCAGATGAGTGCGGAAATCACGGGTCCTCCGTTGGTGTCGCCATGGATGTTGCTGTCGATGTCTGGGGCCCGCGAAGACGCCGACGACACCAAGTTCGTGACGCCCGGAAATCCAGTTTCAGACGATCCGCATCACTTCATGAGGTTTTTTTTTCAATTTTTCCTCATAAACTGAAATTTTGAAAGAAGTAAGGAAAAATCTTAATCATAGAATTTCCCAAGAGGAGTTTTTTTGGAAAAAAAATTTGCTAAAGAAGGTCTCATTGTTTTTTTATGAAAAAAAATCATAAAGTTTTGTTCACAAGTTTGTTTTTTTCAAAAAAACAAAATATTGTTTTTCATGATTTGCCATTCACATGAAAGAATGAAAAACGTGCTTCTTAACTATGAATTCCATGTGGTGGAATAAACAGAAATGATGCTTCCAGAGGCCATGGAACCTACATTCGCGAGGGAGAAATCGTTTCTTCGCTCGCCGGAATCGTCAATCAGTTGAATCGGCTTCTGATGGTCAAAACGATCAAGCAAAGGTTTTTCTGTAGGCAAAAACTGATATAACACTCGTGAACTTCGAGATATGCGGGCGAAGTTGGAGACGTCGTGATCGGCAGAATCGTCGAAGTTCAAGCCAAACGGTGGAAGGTCCTTTTCACGTCGAAATTGTGATTCAAAATTGAAAAAAATGGCCTATTAAAATTTTCATCATTTTCTGGATGGGATATATCGGGAGAAAGAAAAAAATTATTTTTTTCTTTTCTCGAACAAAATATTGGCTTTATTGATGAGTTTTTCAATAATAATTGTTTACAAGTACTTTGATTGACATTAACGTAGGCGAATCGAGAAAGGGTTTCGCGAGATCCTCTGAGGTATATCGCAGCCTCTGAAGTCTCACGATGGTACCTCGAGTATACCTCTGAGGATTTCGAGCAAAATGAGAGGGGCTTGAGGGAGACTCTAAAGTACCTCCGACATGGCTCAGATATAGCTAAAAGGTATGCCGGAGGTCTCACGATGGACACACTATGGGGCCTTCACGATCCATTTTGAGAGGTATCTTTTTGTGGATACATTATGGTACCCTTCCGATTCGCCTGTGAATTCAGGTAGACAAGGTTCGAGCGAAACATATGTCTCCTTTTTTTAAAAATAGATATCGAAAAGATGCTTTTTTGTCTAGTTTATGGCATTCTGTTTGTTTCACGAATATCAAAAAGTTTTTCGAAAATTTTTAAAGAATATTTGATTCATGAAACCAAAAATGGTTTTTTTTTTCTCAGAGGAACCAGAAAAAACTGAATGTTGTAGGTTGACGTCACTTCGCGGTTATTCAGTAATTTGCCTCTGGGCAGTGTCCTTCTCCCTGGCGCAGATTTTCGTCGCAAAGACGTCGACGTAAGGAAAACTTCCCCATTTTACGCCGAGAATCGCCTTGAAGGACGAAGAGAAGATGAGCGAGTATTTGAAAAGCGGAGAGCTTGTCTGCGCCGAAGTGCAGCAGGTGCAGAACGACGGCACCCTGATGCTGCACACGAGGAACCATAAATACGGCAAACTCCGTCAGGGAATCCTTGTGCAGGTTCTAGTTGCGATGGAGGAGATCTCGCAGTTGGATTCTTTGAGGTGCCTCCCCATCTGATCAAGAAAAGCAAGGTGCATTTCCACACGCTGCCCTACGGCATGGCCATCATCATCGGCTGCAACGGCGGCGTCTGGATTTCGGCTGCCCTGCCAGAGGCCGCGCAGGAGGAAAACCAGCACAAGTTTCACGATTTCGAGGTAGTTTTGAGCTCTGAAATGAATAAACAATCGAAAAGATTCCACTTTATTTTGATCAAATCCAGAAATATGCATTAAAGCGACTGATGAATTAGCTAATAACATTTTTTATTTACCTTGAAAAAAGATTTTAAATAAAAGTTTTCAAAACTGTATGTTTCTGTTTTCAATTTTTATATTCCTCTTTTTGAAAATTGGTTTTATTGGATATCATTTTGAACCTTGAACAGTATTATTATTCGTATTGAATTAATGATGATGATGATGAGATTTTCCTGTAGAAAGTGCCGATCGATGTGCGCCAAGCGATGGTTCGGATTGCGGCATGTGTCCGATTACTTCGCGATTATTCCATTTCAGTCTACCTGACCTCCATAACGACTTGCTACGATATGAGCCTAATTCACGAGGTTTGTGTCTTTCTTAGGACACGGCTCAGAATAGAAAATTATAAGGTGAAGGAACTTTCTGAACATGATTCGGCTGCCCGGTTAGCCCACATGATTGCTGCCAGACTCCTCACTCAGGAAACCAAAGCCTGATCTCTTTCTTCATCTCATTTCCTTATTGTTAAAATTGTTAATTGTTGACTTGAATGTAAACATTTATTCATCCAACTTACCCGTTTCTTCTGTTTTAGAACTTGCTCTAATGGAACTTTAAGAGAAAATTGTCGTATTTAAGAAAATTGTCTGAATGTTTGTAATGTGCGGAGAAGCGTACGGTGTGATTCCACAGACAGACTTCCAGTTAGCTTTGGCCTGGAAGCGAGACTTTTTTATACCAGGAAATGCTCTAGACTTACAAAAGGACGAATGTAGTTGGAGAAAGTTGCCAAATTGATGAACCCATCCGCGTCTTGATATGCTTTCAAAGAGTCGACGAGCGTTGCCTTAATTGTTTTCAAATTGGTCAGAGAAAGTGACAGCTGACTGGATAGATGACATGAGTGTCTATCGGGTTTGGGTCGTGGTTGAGCAGTCTCACAGACGGATACGGTACCTTTCTGAATTTTTTCTGTGCTCGCCGTTTCTCATTACACTGACCTGAACTCGATCACGAATCCAGCGGAGGTTCTCACTTCATTTTTGTTCATTCCCAATAGTTTCATGATTGATAAAGTCGCTTGGGAATGCTGATGGTTGGATAATTCTGAGCGAAACAGAACGACAAACCGATGAGTATCCGACGAGTTTCACCTCGCTTTGTTTATTGGCCGTGTTGAGTTTGCTGAGAATGTCGCTGAGCCAATAGCCGGCCATCAGGTCGCGACAAGGAGGATAATTAGCACAGGCAACCTCGTGCGCTTCGGCTGGAAAGTTTTGAAGAGCATTCAACTGGGAAAAAATGTTATTAAAACATCAAGAGAAAACAATATTCTTTTCAAAACATCGTCTTTAAACATGCCAGTTGGAATTCATCAACTCACAGAAGCTCATGATTTCGGCTAACAACTCTTGGGAGGTCAAGTTTGCAGTGGGAGCAGTGATCCAATCGGGCAATGGTGCATTGTGGAGACACTAGGTTTTTCTTTTATTTGTCAAATTCTTCGGGGTCACCATTTCTAGCACATTGTCTGCGAGAGTTTGGGCGTTCAACAGGTTGGACATGTTCCAGCCGGTGTTTTTCTCAAAGTAGGCGAGAAGCGGGGCTTTTTCCGTCAGAAGTTGTTTGAGTTGCGGCTGTTCTTCATTGTCTATCGACTTCCAGACTTTAACGCACATAGACGCCGACTTTTTTTTTGTTGGATCAAAACTAACCGACGGCATTCTTCTTGCATTCTGACACAGAGTACATGCGCAACATGGCGTCGTTGATTGTGTAGGGAACGGGGCTCCAATTTTCGAAGACAGGTTTATTCCACTCTGCCCAAGTTTCTGGAGGATGCAGTCCAGCGGTGAGCACCTGAAGACGGGTCTAGAATACAAATTGTTAAGAAAAATAAAATTGCTTTTTTTCCGAGTTTGGTGACTTGATCCAAAGATGGTCTTTCTTTCAAAGTTTTTATTAGGTTTAATGGCAATCATAGAAAATATAGTGAGTTTAAAAAAAGGTTTTAGTGTTAACTGAGCAACCCGTTTCAAAAAGATGGATGCAAAAATGAGTTTTTAAGGTTATTTTTAGATCATGCAAGAATTTTTCCGCCTTCAAAAAAATCCAGTAATTATTTTTTTGAAAAAAAGTGAAGAAAAAAATTGAACTTTTTAGTGGAACTTTTTGTCTGATCGAATTTACAGTTCTCCGTTTCCGAGAAATCACCCAAATGTCTAAATTCGCCAGAGTCTCACCTGCAACGTCATTTGACATCGGTTGGCAGGACTCGAGTAGTAAACAACTTCGGATGCGTTATAATTTTTAGATGTCTGAACGTATTTGTTTTCACAAGTTTTCTACTGTTCCTACCAGATTCCCGATGAACTTTCGGAGTTCAGAACCTAGACCGTAGCTCTGTCTCTTTCCAATCTCCAACATTTAGAGTTTGAACCCATTGATACCCAATTACCTACGTTTGTCAGTTCGTTGGATCCTTCGAAGCCCCATGTTTGAGGGGTTTGAGGAAGGAATCTGTACGGATTTCTGTTGCCGTGCCTACGAAAGTCGTGTCAGATGAAATAAAGCCATGTGAAATCATACCTAGTCCCGAAAATGACGAGAGCTGTATTGGGATCTATTGTAGAAGAGATTTTTGGCAAAACTCCAGCAGAATGAGCTATCCAGAACTGACATGACAACAGTAGCACAGGTGCCAAAAGCATAGGAATGAGCAAATGATGGAATTTCGACACGTTCTCAACACCACCTCGGCCATTTTTTCTTTCAAAAGTGCAAACCAGAACAAGCTCTGTGCAAACGTGCAACGTGAATCACGCCTCCGGCAACTCGAATTTGTTTCGTTGAGTTTGAAATGCTTTATTTATTACTCTATTCAACCGGTAACATACGAATTATGGCTCTTTCAAGTCTCTGAGAAGAGATTTTTTCCATTTTCTGATCATCCGTTTAACGTCTGCCCATGACGTAGGAAAGAATCGTGGCGTTGAGGACCGCTGTTTTGAGGAATGAAGATGATGCCGAGGAGGTGGGTGCTGCGATTCCACAAGCCTTTTTCCAGTTGGAATAGTCCTGAGAAACGTCATTTTATTATGGAAACTTTGGCGCCTGTGCGCTTCATGCACATATACCAGCGTTCGATTCAAAAACATTGATTAATTTTGCAATTTTTTTTAGTTTTTGGTAATGACTTTGAGCTAAAGTATTTAGGTCTCACCTCGGCGGGTTTAACGTAGTTCTCGAAAACGGTCAGGTTGATGAAGCCGTTTGAGTCTTTCCGTGCCTCCAGAGCGTCAACTAGAGTTGCCTTAAAATCCCGATGTATTTTTCAACAGAAAAATAGGTCTACCGGATAAATAACGTGGCTGTCGATTGGGTTTGGGTCGTGGTTCAGCAGTCTTATCGATGGATATGGCAATTTCCTACAAGACGGACAAGTGCATTGACGGAAATCCAAATTACCTGAGCTCTACAACAAATCCAGCGGAAGTGGTCAGCTCATCTTTCGTGATTCCCAGTAGCTTCATCACGGAAAGAGTGATCTCGGTGTGCTGAGAAAAGACCTGGGTCATCGAATCTCGAATTGGAAAGAACCGAGGCGTATCCGGCTACTTTCTGGTCGCTGTTGTTACTCGCTTTGTGCAATTTACTGAGAATGTCGGTGAGCCAATAGCCGGCCATCAGGTTTCTGCAGGGGGCGTAGTCGGCGCAGGCGATCTGGTGAACTTCCGCTGAAAAAGCTGGCAGTTTGAGATTTGAATCAAAGAATAAATAGTCACCAAAGCTCATAATCTCGGATTCGATCTGTTGTGGAGTGTAATTTATGGTCGGCTTCGTGATCCAAGCAGGCAGAGTTGCGTTGTAGAGATTCTGAAAATATCTTTTTATCCTAAATGAACAAATAAACTAAGGCTAACAATTTCGATGAGATTGTCGGCAAGATCGGCCGCATTGCCCAAATTGGACATGTTCCAGCCAGTGTTCGCCTGGAAGTAGTTGAGAAGCTGTCGTTTCTCGGTCAGAAGTTGTTTCAGATGGGGCAGCTGATCATTGTCAATCGGTTTCCACACTTGAAAAAGAAAAAAACATTAAGCTGAGGATAGATCTTTTTGATTTTTCAGCTTCTTGTTCACTAATCATTTTTCTTGGTAAAGGAAAAGCTTCCGAATTTCGTTCTCATTTTTTCTAGTTAGTCTCTTTTTTTTCAACGTTTGCGCCACATATTAAATTTTTTTTTCTCATATTTTCATTTTTGCGCAGCCTTGGTCTAAGGCTTTGGTCTAACTTTCATTTACCTATATGTTTTCCAAACTTTGTTCATTTGAAAGGTACAAAACCTTCATAGAAAAAGATCTGACGATCTTTGACTTTTCTCTGTCTTGATCAGGTAGATTGTTACCGTCTTCTCTTTTTCTTTTTTTGGCGCTTTCGCCTTGAGTTTTCTGGTTTATTCGCGTTAAACTGTTTCGAAAAGGACATTAACGATGGAAAACTAGTTATTCAGAATCGGAAAAAAAGTTGCCTGACTTTGAAACAAAAATCAAACTGTGACCGCGGTGTAATTTCACTGATAACGCTGGTAACTGTTCTCGATCTAGCCGTTTGAAAAACGAAAAAAATACTTCAAAACGGACCGACGTTGCTTTGCGTGCACTCTGACACGGAGTACATTCGCAGAAGTTGGTCGTTGATACTGTAGGGGACGGGGCTCCAATGATCCAGAACAGCCGTGTTCCAGTCGCCCCAGGTCTCTGGAGGGTGCAGACCGGCCAGTACTGTCTGCAACTTTCACTTGAAACACAACATTTTAGCTTTTTTCCCTTGATCATAAATCTGAGTGCAATGGAAAAAGTTCAAAAAACGCAGCCCGAGCTTTCATCTCAGATTGATAGTTTTTTAGACCAAAGAAACTTCGAGATCGGTCAATATTAATTGACTGAAAGCCACAAAAGAGAATCTCAAATGTTTGTTAAGAATATGAATTCAGTAATATATGGCTGTCAAGTCTAGAACGCTTTCCTTGTTCCTTTGGAAATTGAAGTTTGAAAGGCAATACTTCGAGCCGCTCGGAGACTATCATCATTTTCTGTCTTCAATAAAATCACAACCCAACCTGAACAACTGGTTATTATTTATTCCTTTCTCCCTTTTTACGGCATTTTTTCTAAAGTTTAACGGTCGACCTGCAAAGTCATTTGACAGCGATTGGCTGAGCTCGAATAGTACGAGACTTGGGACGCGTTGTAGTTGTTTGATGTCTGAACAACCGGTTTTCAACTCTTCAAAAGATGTTTCGCACAAAACCAAGTTTCCAATGAACTTGCGCAGCTCCGTTCCAAGCCCGTAACTTTGGCGTTTTCCGACCTAGAAGGAGACAAATAAAAAAACTCTAAAAGAAAGACCCACACTAGTCAGTTCGTTGAATCCTTCGAAGCCCCAAGTTCGAGGGTTTTCTGGAAGGTACTGGCCCGGATTTCGATTTCCATGTCTGGTAAAAAAGGTCTTTCGACTCGAAGAACACGGGTTTTCCGCTTTTTGAATTTTTTTTTCGTGATAACCAATACTCTGAAATCTTGTTGCAAAGCGTTTATTTTTCTTCAAATAATCATGTCTTTTTTCTGTTAATTTCGAGACAGAAAAGCTAAAAAAGAGCTTTGAAATATGAACAGCAGATTTCTCCTGTTTTTTCTATTGAAATATAAGCAAGTAACACCCGAATTGAAAGTCTTTGAGTTCTGAAAAAGAAGAAATATAATTTGCAGCGATTCATCTCTATTATTTTTTCATACAAAAATGCTCAATGAATCAAATAATTTTACCCTTTTCTACATTTTCCTTAATGAGGTTATTTCACAAATATGAAATAGGCGCGAACTCACCGAGTTCCAAAAAGGACGAAAACAGTATTAGGATCGATTTTGACAGATTTTGAAGGCAGATTATGGTCAGAACAAACTAGTAAAATTTGAAGAGTTAATAAAATTACATTGGAAATCTGCATGGCTCAGAATAGGTTCAATCGCGAGAACTTGTTTCTGACTCGACAAACTGTATTTCGGGTTGGCCGAAGTTGAGTGGAGGTTGGGCCAAAGGACAGGAAAGAGCGTTGGAAGGGCGGAGAGTCTTTTCAGCCTTTATTTGCTCTCTTCGGTTTTCCCTTTGAACAGTAATACGTGTAGTTTGGAACCGAACACGTTTTGATTGGAAAGATTGATTCCCAGGTGTACAATGATATATTATTGGGTGCAGAGTTGTCTTGCATCTATAATTTGCACCGCTTTGAAAGCGAAAAATGATCACTCCAAAAAAAAAAGTCATCCGAGCATTCATTCTGAAAAATGAACATGACAATAAAAGAAATCCACTAGGGAACGTTTTCTACCCCCTGGTGGATATTTCGTTCAAATATGGAGGTCGTAAAGTAATCTTCAGCAAAGGTTCGTCAAAAGTTCTACCGGGGATAAAAAATGTCCCCTAGTCGGAGTTTTAATTTTCAAAATTTTCGAGCTGTCTAATATTTGTTGTGCACAACAAAAAAAAGAATAAAATTATTTATTAATTAGTGAAATCATGGCAGGAGACTTTGAGAGAAGTTTTAAAGAGTTTGATTTAAAACTTCTGTGCAATAGCCAGAGTTCAGAGCCGAGCGATAAGATCAAGAGAAAAGTCCTAAATATTTCAATACGAATCTTATTTTTCGAGGGAGATACTCTTCAAAAAAATTATCCTTTCTCGTTGTATATCATTTTCATGAGAATCGATATTGACACCGAAAGTTTACCCATTCTGACAAAAACAACCGACAAGGAAATTACACCGCGAAAGCTTTTCCTACGCATTGCGTAACCGTTGTAAAAACGATCGACCGACAACCTCGAGGCGTGTCGCAGAATCGGATCGTTTAAGGGTTGGCAAGGCAGCTTAAAAGGCGACGACGGAGGCGAGAAGGACATCTTCTGATCGACGATGGACGCCGAAGGAAGAGTGAAGGCCTACCGCTTCGTCGCCTACTCGGCGGTGACGTTCTCTGTCGTCGCCGTCCTGTCGGTGAGTCTCCAGCCCGGGGAATTCAGACTCCAACCGAGCTGTTTCAGGTGTGCATCACCCTGCCGATGGTGTACAACTACGTCAACAACGTCAAGCGCGCAATCCACACCGAGATCCGCTTCTGCAAGGTAGGATCCCAAAACATCCACCCACATTTTGAAGACTTTGTTCTCAGGGATCCGCCAAGGACATCTGGAGCGAGGTCAACCACCTCCGCACTCTGCCGGCCGCCAACAGAACCGCTCGTCAAGCCGGTTACGGAGATGCTGGGGTTTCTGGAGGAGCCGAGTCCGCTGGAGGCTGTGACGGATGCTGCCTCCCTGGTCCAGCCGGACCTGCAGGAACTCCAGGAAAGCCCGGTCGTCCAGGAAAGCCAGGAGCCGCCGGTCTGCCTGGAAACCCAGGACGTCCACCACAGACGCCTTGCGAGCCAGTGACGCCTCCACCATGCAAGCCATGCCCAGCTGGACCACCCTGGACCTCCAGGAGCCCCAGGGAGCTCCAGGAGACGCCGGAAGCGATGGACAGCCAGGATCTCCAGGAAACGACGGTGCTCCAGGAGCGCCAGGACCTAAAGGGACCATCTGGACCGAACGGAAACCCTGGAGCCCCAGGAGCTCCAGGAGCACCAGGACAAGACGCTCCTTCAGAGCCAATCACTCCAGGTTCGTTATGTTTTTCAATAATTTGAAATTTTTGTATTTAAAAATTTTTTTCTTATCATTTTTTTCACTCGATAACTAACATCCCTGATGGAATTTTTTTGAGCACGTCGCTTTGCAAAAAAAACTTTTTTTATCTTGCTAGTTTTTCAAAATTGACGTTTCAGGAGCACCAGGACCAGCTGGACCAGCAGGACCTCAAGGACCACCTGGACAGCCAGGAGCCCCAGGAAGCGACGGTGCTCCAGGCCAACCCGGACCAAAGGGACCAAGCGGAACTCCTGGACAACCTGGTCCAGACGGAAACCCTGGACCTGCCGGAGAAGCCGGTCAAGCAGGATCTGCTGGAGAGAAGGGAATCTGCCCCAAGTACTGCGCCATCGACGGCGGAATCTTCTTCGAGGACGGCACTCGCCGCTAAGCGACTTCCTCTTTTCGTCTGTATATTTTGTGCTTCTACCAGTCACAATAAACCCTTTGTCTTTCTTATTTCTCCTCTTTTCAACATCGAAATTTTGTATTTCTTAAAAATTCCACCCGTTCTCTCATACTTCGGTGCGTTTCAAGATGTTCAGCGAGAAAGAATTCAAATAGTTCAACTATGTTCAAAAAATTACAAACAACCAACTACACCGTGAGCAAAAAAAATTACAGAAGAATTTTTTTCTTTTTATTTTAAAAAAAATTTGAATGACTTTCGACATCCAAGAGCTCGACAAAATCTTTTTCATGTAAAAAAAAAAAGAAAAAAAATGTGTCAATCGCGTTCGATTCATAAGTTTTCTTACAAAGTAATTTTCGTTTAGGTATATAGTCCGTTCAGATGTTGAATGTCAAGTAGAATGACGTCATTCGAAAAGGCTCTGTGGATGGCTCGCTCTCTGATTGGTTTATTGCGCCGTTAGGGGGGCGGAGCTTGAGCGAGGAGTTGACATTTAAAAATCTGAACAGACTATAAGATTGCTATCTATTCAATAGAATACGACTTGACTGAAAATAAAAAATGGGAAGGAAGTTACCTTCGATAAAGATCAATCAGTTATTCGCATTCTCCGAGAAAACTTTTGCTGAAACTTATTTGAAGCGTACTTTAGGATCCCCTGATTGCAAAACAAGAAAAAAATTTCTCGCAATAGATCTCGTTATCGAGTTATAGAGCTTCAAAGTCCGCAAAATTAGGGGGCGCAAAGCCCCGCCCCTTCCCGCCACCAAAATGACGATTTTTTGTTGCAAAAACGGTTTTGAGGCGTTTATACTAGCTAAAGTTCCACTTTAAAAATGAACTGTTTCTGTTAATCTATGTAATCGACAACGCTCTACAAGACTGAATATTTTTAAAACTATGTATTTTTCAAAAATAAGCGAAAAAGTAAGATTTAACTCGAAAAAAACTGACAAGTTTCACAAAATCGTCGCGTTTCAGAAAACCAAGTGAGGATCGCTTCCAAATTTTGAGTATGTTACTTATTAACACTTTCTTTATTTTTTGAGTGGAAATTAAAAAAATCTAACGACGCGAAAAAAAAATCGAAGCTTGTAAAGTGACATCAAACTTTGAAGCTGAATTGCGAAAAAAATTTCAGCGACAAGGTATACTTTTTATTTGATTTTAAAACTCACAAGTGTTCAAAAATAAAAATTCAGAATGAAAATAATTATTGGGACAGCGAATCAAATTATATTTGAATTTCACCAAAAACCTCCTTTTTTTCGCCTGCCTCGTTGACGCATGAGAGAATAGGATCGCGTCTATACTTTTGATCAGGTTATTAAGCGTTCGAAAACTCTATCAATGAAAAAATTATGAAAAAAATCTAACGACGCGAAAAAAATAACGGCTTTGAAAACCTCGAAAAAATGGCAATTTTTTGGTGGTATGAAAAAAACACCAGCGAAAATTCAAACGGCGACTTTTCCGATTTTTTCATATCGCTAGGGATCTTTCCGACGGCCACCTTTCCGACGAAATTGTTTCCGACTTTTTTCCCTTATATTTTCTGTTTACAAGACATCTATTTACATTTTTTTTCCTATTTCTTTGTGTTTTAATCATGAACCAACTACCTACTTCATATAGGAAGATTTAAAACGAAGATTTTATCGAGAAAAAAAGTCGGAAAAAGATTAGTCGGAAAGGTGGCCGTCGGAAAGTTCCCTAGCGATATGAAAAAATCGGAAAAGTCGCCGTTTGAATTTTCGCTGGTGTTCTTTTCATACCACCAATTTTTTTTTTGAAATTTCGGAAGATTTCGTGCAAGCGTCCGTAGCTGTGTTTGCGTCAAACACACCGATGCGTCCTTTTAAATGTTGCAGAAGCCGTTTTTTTCGAGTCAAACTGCACTTTTTTTCCTGTTTTATTTCGAAATAACATTATTTTTTTCAATTTTTTTCTGTCTTTCAAATCGAATGATAATAATTTTTTTCTGATTAGAAAAAAAGAAAAAAATAAGCTGAAAAATTCCTTCTGACCATTTTTTTCTAAGTAGTTTTTTTGATATTTTTATCAAAAAAATTCTTATGAGGAGTTATACAAAAGAATTATACCAAAACATTGAGCTCAGTTCGGACAACCTCTCAGAACAGAAAGCCGATTCGGAAACGGTTCAGAAATGCGCAAAAACAATTAAAAAGAAAGCGTGCGGCAGCGGGTAAACCGTGAGATTTTGCCTCCAGTTGTAAGCCGCGCGCGCTTGTTTTTTGGCCACAACTTTTTTCTTAGTGTAGCTTTTTTCAAAAACTAAACGGATTATGAAAATGGACAGTCTCCTCTATCGAACAATGTGAAAAACATATTTTTTGAATCGTTCTGAAGAAATGGCTTGCGTGACAAAAGAAAAGCGGTATTTTGAGCTTGTGAAGTGTCCTAACTCGAAAACGAGATCTATTGCGAAAATTTTTTTTCTTGTTCTGGAATCTGGAGGTACTAAAATAGTATTCAGTTTTTTTTTTGACCGATTCGGATTGAACGCCCGATCCGGAAGAATATTTGGAAATTTTCTAGGATTCGGTTGGAAATATCCGATTCGGAAGGAAAGGGTATGGTTAGGGACCGCAAGCCATTTCTTCAGAACGATTCAAAAAATATGTTTTTCACATTGTTCGATAGAGGAGACTGTCCATTTTCATAATCCGTTTAGTGTTTGAAAAAAGCTCCACTAAGAAAAAAGTTATGGCCAAAAAACTAGCGCGCGCGGCGTACAACTGGAGGCAAAATCTCACGGTTTACCCGCTGCCGCACGCTTTCTTTTTAAATGTTTTTTTGCGCGTTTCTGGACCGTTTTTTTAAATCGGTTTTTCTGTTCTGAGAGGTTGTCCGAACTGAGCCTCATGTTTTTGGTATGAATCTTTTTGTACAATCCTCATAAGAATTTTTTTGATAAAATATCACAAAACTACCTAGAAAAAAAGGTCAAAGGGATTTTTTTCAGCTTATTTTTTTCTTTTTTTCTACTCAGAAAAAAATTATTATCATTCGATTTGGAAAAAAAGAAAAAAATGAAAAAAATAATGTTATTTCGAAATAAAACAGGAAAAAAAGTGCCATTTGACTCCGAAAAACGGCTTCTGCGACATTTAAAAGGACGCATCGGTGTGTTTGACGCAAACACAGTTACGAACGCTTGCACGAAATCTTCCGAAATTTCAAAAAAAAAATTGGTGGTATGAAAAGAACACCAGCGAAAATTCAAACGGCGACTTTTCCGATTTTTTCATATCGCTAGGGAACTTTCCGACGGCCACCTTTCCGACTAATCTTTTTCCGACTTTTTTTCTCGATAAAATCTTCGTTTTAAATCTTCCTATATGAAGTAGGTAGTTGGTTCATGATTAAAAACACAAAGAAATAGGAAAAAAATGTAAATAGATGTCTTGTAAACAGAAAATATAAGGGAAAAAAAGTCGGAAACAATTTCGTCGGAAAGGTGGCCGTCGGAAAGATCCCTAGCGATATGAAAAAAATCGGAAAAAGTCGCCGTTTGAATTTTTCGCTGGTGTTTTTTTCATACCACCAAAAAAATTGCCATTTTTTTCGAGGTTTTTCAAAGCCGTTATTTTTTTCGCGTCGTTTTTCATAATTTTTTTCATTGATAGAGTTTTTGAACGCTTAATAACTTGATCAAAAATATAGACGCGATAGACGCCATTATAGATAGCACTCCCAAAAGTCTCCTCTTGGCGCATTCCGCGTGCGTGCGCGCGCCAATTCAAATTTCGTCTCTTGAACTAGATTTACAGGCTTCCAGTATATGGTTCTTTTTGTATAATTTTTCTTGCATAAAAAAACTTCCAATTAATTTTACCCGGGTATCATATCTATGATAACTGGATATACGGGCAGAGTACCGGAAATGTTTGATTGTCACCGAGTAGCCTGGAAATGCTTCCCAGGTTTTTTTATTATTATTATTTTTTTAGTCACTTCGGTTTTTCTAATTTTTTTATTCATTCTGTTTTCAGACTTCCTTTGAAATTTGTATAAGCTGTACACGTTGTTCTCCATTCGCTCATGAGAAACGAAGAATGAAATTTCAGCAGCACATTTCCTTATCATGCGAGGAGCTTTGAAAAATCGTATCTCCGCTCAAAAACTTTTCCAAAAAAAAAAAACTTTTTTCACGGACCTCCGCGGCATTTTTTGAGAACAGATTTGGAAACAGCATGAAAAACTTCATTTAGTGAACTGGGTCTCATTCTGAAATCCAACTGCGACCAGACACCATTCCCTGGTCAGCTAGAGCTAAAATTTATGCTCGACGTCTCACGCTGGACATATTATGGAATATTCAAGATTCATTTTGAGAGGTATATTTGTGGGCACATTATGGTACCTTCCCCATTTGCCTGTGCAAGTGAGTGAAGGCGAAAACTTGAATTGGCGCTAAAACAAGAAAAAAACTTTCTTAAATAAAGTTAGATTCCCTAAATGAGTCAATATTAAATAAAAAGAAAACTGGAAATGAATAAGTAAGAAAAAAATTATACAAAAAAAGAACCATATACTGGAAGCCTGTAAATCTAGTCCAAGAGACGAAATTTGAATTGCGCGCGCACGCACGCGGAATGCGCCAAGAGGAGACTTTTGGGAGTGCTATCTATAATGGCGTCTAGACGCGATCCTATTCTCTCATGCGTCAACGAGGCAGACAAAAAAAGGAGGTTTTTGGTAAAACTCAAATATAATTTAATTCGCTGTCCCAATAATTATTTTTCATTCTGAATTTTTTTATTTTTTTGGACACACTGTTAGTTTTTTAAATCAAATAAAAAGTATACCATCGCTGAAATTTTTTTCGCATTTCAGCTTCAAAGTTTGGTGTCACTTTACAAGCTTTAATATTTTTTTCGCGTCGGTAGATTTTTTTATTTTCACTCAAAAAAATAAAGAAAGTGTTAATGTATAACATACTTAAATTTAGAAGCGTTCCTCACTTGGTTTTTCTGAAATGCGACGATTTTTGTGAAACTTGTCAGTTTTTTTCGAGTTAAATCTTACTTTTTTTCGCTTATTTTTTTGAAAAAAATACATAGTTTTTAAAAATATTCAGTCTTGTAGAGCGTTGTCGATTACATAGATTAACAGAAACAGTTCATTTTTAAAGTGGGACTTTAGCTAGTATAAACGCCTCAAAACCGTTTTTGCAACAAAAAAATCGTCATTTTGGTGGCGTGAAGGGGCGGGGCTTTGCGCCCCCTAGGTATGGTTGAAAGTACGCCCTAAAATACACTTCCGCGAATTTTCATCGAAAGTTTAACGGGTAAAACGTTCTCTAGTTAATGAAGATTTTCAATCAGTTTTTTGTCGTGCTCGAGTTTGAGGTCGGGAAATGGTTCTCGAGGTTTTATCGTCAGTATAGATGATATACGGCTAACTTGGGACGCAAAAAGGCGTGGCCTGTCTGCACTCTCCACCAACTAGGGCACTGTCTTGTCTCTTTTCGTGGCAGGACCCTTTTCTCGATAGCTCAAGCCAGCCGTGAATCAGCTATACTAGTGCTCGTTCGGTTCATTGTTTTGGAATTCTAGATTGAGACTTCTCGAAATCTCCTTTTTTGTGAGAGAAAGACTGTGGCTCCGAAACATGGCTCTCGCTGAACATCTTGAAACGCACCGAAGTATGAGAGAACGGGTGGAATTTTTAAGAAATACAAAATTTCGATGTTGAAAAGAGGAGAAATAAGAAAGACAAAGGGTTTATTGTGACTGGTAGAAGCACAAAATATACAGACGAAAAGAGGAAGTCGCTTAGCGGCGAGTGCCGTCCTCGAAGAAGATTCCGCCGTCGATGGCGCAGTACTTGGGGCAGATTCCCTTCTCTCCAGCAGATCCTGCTTGACCGGCTTCTCCGGCAGGTCCAGGGTTTCCGTCTGGACCAGGTTGTCCAGGAGTTCCGCTTGGTCCCTTTGGTCCGGGTTGGCCTGGAGCACCGTCGCTTCCTGGGGCTCCTGGCTGTCCAGGTGGTCCTTGAGGTCCTGCTGGTCCAGCTGGTCCTGGTGCTCCTGAAACGTCAATTTTGAAAACTAGCAAGATAAAAAAGTTTTTGCAAAGCGACGTGCTCAAAAATTCCATCAGGGATGTTAGTTATCGAGTGAAAAAATGATAAGAAAAAATTTTAAATACAAAATTTCAAATTATTGAAAACATAACGAACCTGGAGTGATTGGCTCTGAAGGAGCGTCTTGTCCTGGTGCTCCTGGAGCTCCTGGGGCTCCAGGGTTTCCGTTCGGTCCAGATGGTCCCTTAGGTCCTGGCGCTCCTGGAGCACCGTCGTTTCCTGGAGATCCTGGCTGTCCATCGCTTCCGGCGTCTCCTGGAGCTCCCGGGGCTCCTGGAGGTCCGGGTGGTCCAGCTGGGCATGGCTTGCATGGTGGAGGCGTCACTGGCTCGCAAGGCGTCTGTGGTGGACGTCCTGGGTTTCCAGGCAGACCGGCGGCTCCTGGCTTTCCTGGACGACCGGGCTTTCCTGGAGTTCCTGCAGGTCCGGCTGGACCAGGGAGGCAGCATCCGTCACAGCCTCCAGCGGACTCGGCTCCTCCAGAAACCCCAGCATCTCCGTAACCGGCTTGACGAGCGGTTCTGTTGGCGGCCGGCAGAGTGCGGAGGTGGTTGACCTCGCTCCAGATGTCCTTGGCGGATCCCTGAGAACAAAGTCTTCAAAATGTGGGTGGATGTTTTGGGATCCTACCTTGCAGAAGCGGATCTCGGTGTGGATTGCGCGCTTGACGTTGTTGACGTAGTTGTACACCATCGGCAGGGTGATGCACACCTGAAACAGCTCGGTTGGAGTCTGAATTCCCCGGGCTGGAGACTCACCGACAGGACGGCGACGACAGAGAACGTCACCGCCGAGTAGGCGACGAAGCGGTAGGCCTTCACTCTTCCTTCGGCGTCCATCGTCGATCAGAAGATGTCCTTCTCGCCTCCGTCGTCGCCTTTTAAGCTGCCTTGCCAACCCTTAAACGATCCGATTCTGCCTTTCGATGGGCAACTTTTTTTTTGCTGCCCTCCCCCCTTTGCCAATGTTTGCTTCGATCAAAAACGAAGAAAAAAAAACATTTATTCAGTCCAAGATACGCGTTGTGATTGCAACTTTTACGTTCACATTCATCATAAAATCATTGCTTAAGAGAGAGAGAGAGAGAAAGAGAGGAGGGAAACATCGAACTTATATCAACAATTAGACTGGAGTATCAAAATTTTAATTCTGAAAAAAACTTCAAACCGTTGGATTCTCCCTAAAAATGGACCAAGAAAAACAATTGAACTGAAAGATTGCTTGGCTGAAAGAATGGAATTTACAGATTCGCCTAGAAGTGCAATTGAGCTGAATGTCGAAATGAAGTTTAAAGAAAATTGAAAAAGGAATGATCGATGTGAAAAATTGCAGAATATACGTGATTGAAACAAAAAACGTACTCACATTTTTGCAGGAACCCGTCAGATAAAATATTTCTCTGATATTCTTTTGCTTATAATCTTCTCTAGTTATCATTAATGTATATCATCGATTCTTATTCATTGCGTCACAGTTGCGAGACGCAGATCTTATCGTGCCGATCGTTCTCTTCCGGCGTCGTTTCGCGAATCTGAACTTTTTTTGCACGATTTGAAACAGGTAAAAACTACCTGGTTCAGATTTTGGTTGAAAGTGACGTGGGATTCTCTCCGATCTTCATCAACTTCGTCTTCTTGTGATACACAGCATCTTAAATTAGGAAGTCAAAAACATAACTTTTAATTTTATAGAAGAGAATGAACTGACAGTTTCCGTTTTCTTTTGGCGCGAGGTCCTTTTAAAGAAGAAGATTCGCTGATTGGCGGCGTGCTCCGACCTCCTTCGAAAGCGACGTCAGCTTCTACGAACTCTCTTTCCTAAACTTTTCCTACTCATTCAAGTAATCAAACTTTTGTAATAGATGCTCAATTCTAAAGTCCACAAAACTTCATGCCGTGTTTAAATTGATTCCGCGTACCTCAAAATAACCGGCAGAGAGCGAAAAGGATAACTGAATTTTTGAAAGTCAAAACTACTTTTGAATTTCGCGGAAATAATTTTAAAACGGAATTATAGAAATATTCGTTTTGAAAAAAGCGAAATTAAAAGCTTCCATATGCTTGACGAAAAGTTATTTTTATTCTTTTAACATACATTTTGTTATAATCATCTGTGTTTAAAAATGAAACTGAAATATCTTCAAATTGAATGCTACAGAAATTATGGTGGTTTATTCAGCTGCGCAGGGATCGCTTTTTTTCAAAACTTCAGAAAAATATTTTTTTATTTTTCTCAGTGCAAATTTGGTTATTAACGTCTCATGTTTCCTAAAAGAAGATTTTATCATATTTGCTGTTTTTAAAATTATTTTATTCATTTCCGGTGGTAACGATAGGGTCCTAAATATTGCCGTTTATGTTTCAATGGTGTAATCATGGGTGAGAAAAAGCCGCGAGAACCCGTTTCGAGTGAAAGTTGGGTAAGTCTCTAAGAAACTTCTTTTTTTTCCCGAGTAGTGTCGGCGTAATCGAGTCGCCTATATTTGACAAAGAAAACTGTGTAAGAAAATGAGATCGTTCGCAGAGTTTTCATTAATTATTCCACGGCGTTGGAAAAGAAAAAGTACAACTAACCGTGGCTTTTTCGAGACATTGTAGTAAGTGGTGATGTTGTATCTCGAAAATGTCTTCGTCTCGCAGTGCGTCGAAGCTCAGCAGACCTCAAAAGGTCAAAGTCCATTTCACGCGTTATTTCATGACGATAATGTGTTCAGGGCCATCATATTTGAGATAGGTTTACAAAAAATTTTCTTTCAAGGCAAAACAAAAAATTTGTTCATGGATTCTTCCATATTTAACGGCATTTTCCTCAGACCTTATTCTTGTTGCTCTAGAATCCTGGAAACTCAATGCTGGAAACTGAGGAGTAACATTTTTTTTTTTCACGAAGGACCTATTTTTAGTATGAAACATAATATTTTTCGGAAAATTTATCAAAAACAAAATTTCTCAGTGTAAGATCCGGTTTTTTGAAGATTTTAAAATAAGAATTTTGGAAGTCCGCATTCAACACAGGGTATAGGCCTGAAAAAATGCTGACCTTAATCTCAGAGAATTTCTGGAAAATTTCTCAGTTTTCCCAAAAATGGCTCCCTTTGTAAGTTTTCTTTAATTTTTTTTTATTGAGCGAATTTCTCAAGCTGAACTTTTATAGACTTATATTTGAAGACTTTTCAGACCTTGTTCGAAGGCCTGCATCCGGGCTTCGTGCGCTTTCTTCTTGTTGAACAACGCTTGACCCGACGCGTTCTTCACGATTCGAATGCGCGCCAATCTTGCCTTCTGCAAAGCCCTCCGTTGCTCATGTTAGATCGACCAAAAGAAAAACCTTTTGCGCCCGACGCTTATCTGCTCGTTGGTTTTGATGGTAAATCCGCGAAAAGTTGCTAACGATCACCTGAAAATTGAGCAATAAAGTTTTTTTTTTTCAGAATGGGAAGTGATTATTTATTAGTTGTTGTGAAAACTGACGAGAAATCTTCGAAATATTGAGAAAATTGTGAAAAAAAAACTTACAGGAACTGGCAAGGCGATCACCAAAACTCCGGAAAGCGAGCAAATTCCTCCCACGATTTTTCCCATCACTGTAGATGGAACCATGTCACCGTAACCTAGTGTCGTTAACTGCAATTCACAAAAAAGTCCACAAAAACACGCTCTTAAAATCGTTAAAATTTATAAAAAATTGGAAACTCACCGTTACGATAGTGTACCAAAAAGCTGATGGTATTGATGTGAATCGTGTACTTTCCACCTGGAAAAAAATAACCTGGACTGATTAATTTATTCCAACAAGAAAAAAAAATTTTTATCAACAATAAACCCGAATTTCCTTCCTCTTCCTAATTTTATCGCATTTCAAGCTTTCGTTTTTTTATTGCTATACGAACTTTTTGAAAAGCTTCCATTTATTTCATCCAAAAATTTCTTTAAAAGGTCCCGAATGGTCTTTTTTTTTACCAATTGGAAGTTTTTCTCAACTTTTCCTACTCTCCCAACAAAAATACCTTTTTCTCAGCATAGTACATGATGGTAGCGAAGATGATGATGGCCATCGCCAAGGAAAAAACGAGGAACCCCAGTTCTGAGGCGCACGACTTCAACGTGTACCCCAATATCCGAAGACCTTGCGAGTGGCGCGAGAACTTGAAGATCCGGAAAACTCGCTGAAATTTTTGATTCACATTGTTATAGAGCAAATTGAAAACCTTTTTTTATTTTTTTAAACTTGAACAGAATGATGATTCAAAAAAAGTAAATCCAGTCATTTACGGATATTAAAAAAAGTTTTCTCAAATGATGATATTGGTTTACGAAAACTTTCCACTAAACTTTTCAAAAAACACCCGGAGAATTCAACTATAATTTTTCGCGTGCTTTTGAAAAAATTTAAACTTCTTTAACTCTATCGTATATATCAAACTTTTTGTGCTAAAAAACAACAGGAAAAGGAAGAAAAAAAAACGAGTTCATACCATGTATTTTCCTCAGAGTATCTTAAAGTCAAAACTTCTCTTTTTCAACAGTTTCTAACATATTCGCAGCCCTCACAAGTTCAAAACCGAACTAAATTTGATATTATCCCATTCTCAGATCTCAAAGAATCTGTCAAAGCGACATTTTTCGCCCACGTCGAATAAAAAATAACGGAGATCGGTGGCGCCGACGTGCGGTTGATAGGAGCCTCCACGGTCAAACAACTGCTCTTATTTTTACGTGAGCATCCCGGGTGCATCATTTTAATGTGGTCCATCGGGATTTATGTGCGTCAATCGTTGTTTTATTGAATGGAAATATCTCACAAAAACTCGGAGAGTGACGAAAGCCCCGGAGACGTCCTTGTTATTCTGGAGGCCGAGGCCGACGTAGTACGGCAGAATCGCCACGACGTCGATCACGCTCATTATTGACCTGAATGGAAAGATCAATCCTTTTCGACTATATTGACTGGCAAGCTCTTTTCGGAGCGGTTTTCATTCAATAAATCATTAATCGGCTCAAACCTCAAAAAGCGACACCTGTCTGGAGCTGCATATAACCGTAAGAGATACTCTATCGTAAAAATAATGACACAAGCCGTGTCAAGCACAAAAAACTGAAAGAAGATAATTTTCGGAATGAAAATGAGGATAGATTACCTGTTTTTCATAGGCGTCTCCACAGGAGACAGCTTGGTCGTTGACGTACCTAGAAAATACTTTTCAAAATAATTTACTCTTAAAAGAACACCTTGGTAACAACTTATAAATCAAAAAGCACATGTTATCCACAGAAGTTTGTTTTTGAACAATGAAAAAGAAAAAAAGGAAAACAGAGCTGACCAGCAAGGAATGGTCTCGATGATGTTGCAGAGGACGGAGACGGCGATGAAGAAGCCGGTGACGTAGTAGAAGACGAGGGCGATGGAAGACGTGTGCGGATTCTCGAAAGCGGCCCACATCTTCTGCTGCAACGTCTGCTGAACGTTGCTCTTCTCCGTCGTCTCCAGACGCTCTTCCAGAAGACGTTCCTGATTCTCGCGCTTCTTGTCCTGTAAATCAGCTTTTTTTTCGACTTATCAAAAAAAACTCATATCACAACATGATTGCTTCATTTTGGAGAAAAAGCCCCAGCGAAAAAACTTCCAGATCGACTCGGCTTGACTCAAAAGACTTGTCCAAACAATCAGAAACTTGATTTTGTTAAATATATTTTTAAAGTGATAAAAGTGGCTTTTGGAAGAGGCTTTTTGCTGATATAAACGGTTCTTTTTTCACTTCTCGATGCCAACCACAGCTTCCATGAATGGCCGAAAAATATGAATTCTTTTTGGGCTTTTTCACAGTTCAAGAGCTTATCTGAAAATTTTTAAATCTCCCTGTATAACATTTCCTTCAAGTCTAGTCGCACGCAGGTGGGAAGCAACTAGAGAATCGTATAAATCTAAATTACGAAAACCTACTAGCCCTTCATTTGAAAGAATTCAAAAAAGATGGGAGAATCCTTCAATTATACCTTATAATCTTCATAACAGCAGTCGGAAATGAGATCTGGCATAATGCCAAAAAAGGAAAGTTCTTCATCGTAGGCGACGAGGCACTCGTGTCGAGGGTACTGAAACGAGAAATAATTCAGTAAAAACAAAAAAAAATAGAAGAATAAAAAAACGAACGTGTAACTTCCCGGTCCGATAGAAAGTTAAAATGTGGCGAAAAATATCAGGATCTCGGTCGAAAAAATATTCTCCCGTGTCCTCGTCGTAGAAAAATTCCTGTAAACAAAATAATGTTTTAATAATATTATTTATTTACAGGCAGAACAAAATAACATGTACAGAAAAAAAAGAGAAAAAATTGGCATTAGGCTGAAATAAATAAATAAAAGGCACTTGAGGCCCTCCCGAGCCTCTGAGCCAGTAATGAAAGAATAAGAGGTGAGGATTGCACAAAGGTAAAATAAGTAAGTGGTAAAGCAAGCATTATAGGTTATGACACAGTGTAGCACAGGTGAAGCACAGGTGAAATGTTATCAAAAGGTGATATTAAATAATTTAAAAATAAACTGCTTCATATGATTCGAATTTGTATTCAGTATCTTGAAATTCTGCAGTGAATTAACCTTTTCATTGGAGCCGAGAAGGGTTTCGGGGAATTTTTCCAGGGTATTTTTCCACGTTTCGAATCGCCTCCCGGAGATGTTGATCGCCAATTTCTCATCCGAAACATGATCCACCGCCAAGTCCTTTGCCTGAAAACGAAAATAAGATTGATTTCGGTTGGTTTATCGATTAATCGCAAAGATTAACTTGAGTTCCTGAAAAATGAAATGAAAAGTTGATCAAAAATTTTAAAAAAGGGAAAATTTTCAGAAGTTTTTCTTTGAGGATTCTAACGTTTTACATGGTATTTCAAACCTTCTTTCGAAAATGTTTATGGTAAAAAAATATGTATCAAAAGAAAACTTTCTAGCTGAAAGTGCAAAATCTCTCGTTTTTTTGTTGTGAAGGTGCTGTTTTTTGCTGTCGACCTCGGGTCTAGTTTCAAAGCAGCGAAACTGATATCATCAGTTGAGCAACATAACTTTTAAAACAAAGATCTTTGAACCGAAAATGTTATCACATCTTTGATGCCTTTTTTGAGCTAGACGCACAGGTTTCTCAAGGCAAAACTTGCCGAGAGGCCGAAAATTGTTGCCGGGAAATATCTCCGGACAGGAAGTGTCGGATAAAAAGAGAACAGATGTCATCGCACATGAAGCAAAAGCCGAACGGCTGTAACAAGACACGCGTGAGTACCGCGAATTAGCTGCGAACGGCGATAAAATCGACCGAATAGCTCTGTTTAGTGGTTCATTCAGTGAAGGAATTAAAACTTAGTTATCGTGTAGTCCATGATCAAAATTATCCGAGCGCAAATTTGGCTATGAAAATTATCGATGAAAGTAACTTCTCGAGATTAACGCGCACATAGCGAGTGACAATAAAAATTGAAATTTTTTTTCAGTTCTTTCTATCTATTTTATCAACTCAAAAAATTTCCTTCTTGGATAATCAACAGATAAATGGAATGGAAATTATGAAAGGGATTTCAAACTTGTCCGCGTGGCGCCTTCAACTATCCTGGCTGGCTCTAATTACTTGACTTTTGGCCTTCATAATGGCGTCATAAGGGTAGCCATATGTTTCTACTGGAAGAAAAATATCGATAAACTTGGCTGTTTTCGCAGTGGCAGCTCCAAACTTTGAAATCATGTTCCTCTATGTGATTTTTTTTTTTCTCATTTCAGAACTTTCAACTTTGAAAGAAATTATCCAATAAAAATGACGAAAAAAATGAAAAACTCTAATGTAGGGGTATTTTCAAGAAAAATATAACTTAAGTCCAAATTAAACTTCGTCACACTTTGATAGCTCTTGTTTTATTTCTGATGTTTTTACAAAAAGATTTTTTTAAAAAGTTTTTACGTCTGACGCAAATCTCTTTCCACCGTTTAGACTCCATTAAAGGTCGGCTTTGTATGAGTTTTTGGAAAAGAAATTGAAAACTTTTTATGTACAAACTCGTACAGAAAAGTTGAATAAAGAACATTTTCAGAGTACGGCTTCAAGAAACTGGGCGCAGTTATCAAATATGTAGCTTAGCCATTCATGAACAATAGGTCGCACATTCGGACCTTACTTCTAGTGAGCCTTGATAAGAAAACAAGGACCTGAATGGCGACGGGCGCCTGCGGCATCGGCTGCCGCGAGATGGGCACCCAGCCGATGGCGGCGGCACGGGCGAACGGCAGCCACGCAGCGACGGACGCCATCTCGACGACGTCCGCTCCTCACTTCTTCTGCTCCTCACGTCCTCTGCGCTTCACGTCTTCTGATCTTCACTTCTTCTGCTCCTCCTCCTCCTTCCAGCCGCCCCGGCGCCTCAAGCCTGGAAATCGTACAGGTTTTCATGATCTCTTTGAACCCAGGAAGCTCTATTTCACACGTTAGAGGAAGTGGATAGGAGGCTTGAAAAAATATAGTTTTCAGGATCCTTAAGTTTCACATCTTGTTTGTATAAATTGAAAGTTGATTTTGGTGAGCGCCCGATTTGGTGGACTGAAGAGGCAGAAATAAAAATAGAGCAAAAGATTTCTTGCTCACAGTGAAACTTTGAATATGATCGTTTTGCGAGAGGTTCAACTCTGACATGCGGCAATATAATCTGAATCTGCTTGAAATTTATTTTTCAGTAGCGGCAGCAGTGTAGCGAGGCTAATAATTGGTTCTCTTAACTTTTCGCAAAATCAGTCGGACCGCTACATAAGGAGGCTAATTAAAAGCAGAGCTAGAAGAGCCACTTTTCGAGTTTATAGTTGTCCCTCAGACTTCAAACGGATGTGACGAAGAACTGGCGGGAAATCCCGGCGTTAAATTGACTATATGTGGCTAGAAAACGAGGATCCACGAAATGCGATACTTCGACGGCGTGTCTCAAAGTGCGAGAAGCTCCACGCCAGTTCTTTCAAGGATTTTTGAAGATCTCTTCATTCAAGAGAGGTCCTTTTCACGGGTCATAGCCCTATCTGACTGATAATCTATCCCGTAGACCCCGAAACCCTTGGCGAAGAAGGCCATTCAAGGCCAGCTTGTGAATTATTCCTATCCAAAGGGTCATGATCTGATTGATTGGTCACACCCTATGGATAACAAAGTATGTTCGATGAAATGAAAAAAGGATATAGAAGTCTTTATTTTCAAAAGCTTATCATTTTCTTTCCTCATCAAAACAGAGTAAAACAGACACTTAGAGGATTCGTGATTTTGTATTATCCCAAGTTTCTTATCATGTATTTCTATATATCATTTTACCTTGCTTGAAAAGTTTGTCAAAAAAATAATTGTTCTAAGTACCAATAAAAAGTATCCTTTTTTTCAGTTCACACTTTCCATTTGGAAAAATGACGTGAAACTGAGCGCTCGGCGCCATGAGAAAAAAACCAACAAAGGGAATAGACAAAACAATTTATTAATTAATGAGGACTCGACGAAAAATTGTTCGCAATATTACACGGTGGCTTCATTTCCGTTTTTTTCGGCACTTTACAAAAAAAGAAATGGATAGACAGCTCAACTTCTCTTTTTAGTAATAATTTAAAAACTTAAAACTGGTAAGTTTGATTTTCTAGGAGCATTATTACCCAAGTTTCAAAGCTTAAAATGTCTTTTTGGAGAGGTTTTAATCCGAAAAAAAGTCATGGCCTTGGAAATAAGTATGTAGAGACTCTGGAAAAGAACTCTGAAAGTTCAAAGAGCAGAAAAAGATATGAGAAATTTCACATAGAAAAACTGCTTTCATATCAAACCAAGTAAACAATTACTAAAGGATGATTAATAAATTTCTCAACTGATGGAAAAAGTTGTTAAACATTTCTTTCCAATTAGAATTAACTCAATTTGAATCACTGAATGGTAACAACGGTTATAGGCGAAAGAGGAAGGAAAAAATATAATGATAAATTAGAAAACATCTTACAGAAAAGTTCTGGACATTAGTATTAAAAACTTTACTTTTTAAAACTTAACTCATCATGAAATTTGAGATACTTGCAAGAAAAAAAAATTCGAACCTGCAGATGTGAAAAAAATTTGTGGATTTTTTTCAAGTAAACTCTATGAAAATGAAAAACCGTGACGTTTTTGACTTCCCCCTAATCTAAAAAAAGGTGGAAATTTTTTTACACACGGAAGTACATGGATTCTTCAAGTTAAAAACAAACCAGCCTTTTTAATAAAAAAATAATTCAAAGGAGCTATATTCTACGTAACGCGTTCAGAAACTTTTAGTTATAATGATACTGATCTACTAACTACTAGTATTTTTAGATAATCTTAAGAATTTTTTCAGCTGTAGATTTTGTTCTTTTTGTTTATTCTCTGATCAGAAATCTCTCACTAAAGTGATCTAACACTCAGGTATGTGCAAAGATAAGCTTTTCTAGTGTCTCCATTCAAAGACGATAGTGAGAATCCTGAACGACTTGTTCATTATTTTAGGACAGCTTCTTCATGTACTTCATTTACCAAGTACACAAGACAATTTCGGAGAGGAGGGTAAGACGATGAGGGTTCAAGGGCTGAAGGTTCCGCACAAAAGCAAACCTGTATGTGGCACCTGGCGCCTAGTTTCAAAGGAGAAAAAAAAACAAAGATTACTGGAGGAGAAAAAGGCGTTGGAAGCCAGTGGATGGAGGTGGTGTGTTGTGTGAGCGGAACAACGGATAGCAGATAGGATATTAGACGTGTGAGCGTGAGTCTCCGGTGAGCGCCTGTGGCGACGGGATACATCGATTGAGAGGTCCCAGCCGCCTCTGGAAGTCCCTCCGGTCGTCCTCCAGCCGGTCACTACCGAAGCAAGTCTTGCAAAAGTTCTCCTCGTTCTAATGGACCGAAAAACCCTTTTTGCAACTGGACGCAATACTTCAAAAGATTTGAGGACGTGACAAACTTTTAGGTTTCAGCAAACCGTCGAAAATGTAGAAAATATAGCGCATGTAACAACTAGAAGAGGTGTGCGAAAATAATCGGTCAAATTTATGAGTAAAACAAGTTTTATACACAAAAACCTGAAAACACGAGATACAACTCAAAAATATGGGATGAAACTTTTTCAATACTTGTTTATTTTTTTATTTACAAGATGAAAGTGATTCGAAAAAAATTAAAGAAAAAAACGAGAGAGGAATAGACTCAAAACGTTTGAAAAAGTTTACGATCTTATAAGTTTCTCAAAAAAAGTTTTCAAATTACTTTTTTTACTGGATCAATCGAATATTTTTTTCCGGACTCAAACTTCCGTACTTATATTTCTGAACTTCGAGTTTTTTTAATATTTTGATGCTTCAGTGGCTTTTTTTCATCCAAATTTTTCAAAAAAACAAATTTGGTCAAAAAAATTTTCAGAACATATCAAACGAATACAAATTCTAAGCTTAATCTCTCAAAAGCTTCTCCAAAGCAAGCTAAAAAAGATTTTTCCTCCATTTGTGGCATAGAAAACAAGGATTATCCGTGTATCTTTATATTTCATCGGCTTTCCGAAGAGCGACTTCATTAGGACGAATGCACTCACTTTCCAAAGACCTCAAAAAAAAACTCGCAAATCCAGTTTAACTTCCAGAACAGAAAAAAACTTTCAACGAGAAGTTCAGCGGTTTTATAGAAAACAGAAGTTTTTGAGTTTCCCAAAAACGTAAGCATCGAAATAAGATAACTGATACGATTAGAAAAATGAAATAAATGAGATGACTAGGAAGGAAGGACTTTTTCGTAAGATGAAGGCTTATAATCTCTGATGAAACTAGTTATAGGGTTATTAAAAACCTGAAAAAGTTATTTTTATGATCGAACTGAAACACTAAAAAAAAAAATTATAATCCTATTTCAATAGATTCAAAAAATGAAAAAAAAAAACTGTTTATTGCATCTTCAATGTAAGAATAAATGTGCAATCGACTTTCATTGATTTAACTGTGTCAGGAGCTGTGGCTTAGGCAGAGAAGTTGTGAATTTCGCTCGTAAAAAACATGAATAAAACGAAAACTTCTCGATGATAATTTATACGACGGCCAACAGGATGCATCTTCAAAAATTAGAGAGGTGTAACTGATAAGTCGCAAACTTTTTCTGTACCATTTATACTAAGTTTTAGTGTAAAAATTCACATTTAGCATCTTAATTCGCTCAATAACTCGTTGAAGTGTGTAAAAAGATCTTAATAGCCGCTACCTGCCTTTTTTATTTTGAAGAAATGTGAGAAAGTAACTGCTTCAAGGAAACTTTATCTATAAAGTCAATGATCTTAAGCGAGATGAAGAGAAATTTCAAAATACCCAATAATTTCCTTTTGAGGAGAAAAAAATCATCTCGGTTCGAAAGATGTCGAGGATATACAACACACAGTCAAGCCTCCAAATGCAAATTTGAAAGTTCAAAAAAGGGAAAGAAGGTTTTGAAAAGCAAGTAGAGGTCACGATCGAGGACAATGAAAGGCCGAAATTCGAGTTGGGATTCAAGTGAAGCAGAAGCAGAAGAAGAAGAAGCTAAATGAGTAAGCGGCGTCGAGTCGTTGACCAGAGAAAGGGCAGGGGACAAAACAAATTTCGAGCGGCGCCGCGTCGAAAGAGGATACGAAGAAGAAGAAGAAGCGCCGCTTTCGCCGAACCCGAAGACGTGACAGACTGACTGACTGACACGCGTCCCCAACAGAGTTATTGCTCCTATCCAAGTGTTGCTCATTCTAGAGAACCACGAGCGACATCTCTCGAGGTAAGTTGCCATCCAACAAAACGAAAACAGAAAAAAATCGGAAATATTTTTTTAAAAATAAAATCTTACAATGTCCACTTTTTTTCCTATTTTTCTTTGAGAGGGAGCATTTTATTCAATCGAGTTCAAAACGGAGGCGACTAAGCTGATGAGTGAAAAAAATTATTTTTGACTACTTACAAACTAGTAAGAAATATCCTTGACTAAATCTTCTAAAACTTGAGGTTCGAGGAAAAGACAAGAAATATACGACAGCGATTCAGAATCTGAAATGATGCGCAATAATTGGGTGAGGTGAATTAAATTATAGGTCGCGTGAGATTGAAAATTTGCTGTAGAAGAGGTTTTTCTTTTCAAATCTCGAAAATTGGAGATAGAAATGAGAGCTCATTAAAAAAAAAGTTAATGTTTAATAAGGAAACTCTTTCGGAATAAATAAAAGAAGGCAATGGAAATCCACAGATCCAAACAGTTTCAAAGAACGTGTCGACAGTTAAATGAAATTCTCAGGAAGCAACAAATCTTAACCTCCTTTCAGAACATAAAAAAAAATTTTAGAATTTTCTCAAATCTATAAAAAATTGGCTGCTTTGCTGATTGAACGAAATAAGGAAAAATATCTAATCCGCTAAAAATTTAAAGTTTTGGTGACCTGAAAACAGAAAACAAAGAAATGGAAAATCGGGATGATGATCCGGAAGTTGCCATGGCATCGTCCTTGAGGATAAGCAATCGCGGTCGGGGGAAGCTCAATAAGCGAAAAAGGTGGGCGTGGCCTGATGAGAAGCTGCCGAGCTGATGAGGTGACGTCATCGTCGACGTGAAACAGGAGACGTCGTGAGATTTCGTGCCAATCTCATCGCAACTTGCCGTGAGGTGTTGATCCAATTGTTCTGTTCCTTCTTTTTTGTGATAAACGAAAAGTTTATCAGTAGTATGAAAATCCCTTTCTTAGAAAAAATTGAATGGTCCTCTAAAAAATCATAAATAAGAAGATGGCTTTTGAACCTAACCCTCTGTTTTATTTTCTTTTTTGTTTACTTCCAACTGTTCTTATCAAAAAACAGAGCATGTTTCAAATTTTACATGGAAAAAAAACCCGTTGCATTCGTAAGCTTTTATATTTTTTTGGTCTACGGTATCATGGGGAACATTTTTTCTCAACTTCTCATATATTCTCGATTGGAACCGGCCACTTTTCAATTCTCTCAAAGTTGAAGTAGATTTCATTTCCGCATTTAATGGTTATCTACAAAATTTTTTTTTTCGTGAGATGATTTTCTATGCTCACAGTTTCGAATCTCTCTCATGAATCTTATGATACAAAAAAGTTATTTCTATGCCATTAATGTCCTAATTTTACACTCTGCAGTATATACCAAAGACCACGAAACTCCGAAAAAGTCGGAAAAACGTTCCCATAACCCGTTCTCCTCTTATCAGCCTTTAATTAAGTCGAACGCGCTAAGCTCAAGAAGACCCATAAGGCGAAAAAAATGAGTGTTAGTGGAAGACGTGAAGGTGAAAGGGGAGAAGTCGTGAGAGATGGATGGAAGTTTCGCGTTTTTGCGCTTCAACTCCTTCTGTCTCGACCCTTATTCTGACTAGGCTCCTGAATATAATTGAGATAGGGACAGCGGCGGCGACGAGAGAGCGCATGTGTTTGTTTGTAATTAATTCTGTATTCAAGTGGCAAAACACACACACAGAGGCAAAAACCCAGGAAAAAATGAGTAGCATATCGATTTCAACCAAATTGATATTCTGTCGATTGATTTGGGATAAGTTGGAAGCCTTCACACTCATGAGGCGAGAAAAAGACGCAAAGTGAAACTTTTACGGAAATGAAGGTTTTATGATAAGAACAACGAGCTTGAAACTTCTTTAAAAACCTTTCCGGTTAACTGGTGAAGAGACGTTTACAAATACGATTGAAATTTCGAAAAAAATCGCTATCAGTATATTGTCATAACTTCCAATATGTTTATTGACAATAAAGTTCCAAAAAAATATTATTTTTGACTATATATGTATGCCTTCCTATTTTCTTTTACTTTTTCTAACATTCAAATTCAGCAGAACTTCAGAGAAAGAGAGATGTGGTCGTATCTCGGAAAACAACAAATTAAAAACAACCATAGAAAAAACTTCTTTAATGATAAAATCGTTTGCAACCAGGAGTCCGAGAAAAAAAAACTTAACTCTCTTTTTTTTTCCCCCTAAACAAGGTCGTAAACGCTTTTTCTGAAAATAGTTCGCGTGAGGTCCTTGAGAGAGATTGTAGAAAAATGACAGAAAGAAGAAAAAAAAGCCGAAGGAGGTGAATAATGGACGACGTGCCACACGCACACGACTTCTCTCCATAATTGCTTAATTACTTATCTCCCCCCCCAAACTGAAGCCTTTTTTTTGTTTTGACTTAGAGCCTCCAGCAGTTCAAGCTATCATCTCTCTGCAGTGATACTTTGGCAGTACATTGCAACAAAAAAGCTTTTTTTTCCTACTGTTCATAGATAAACGACGAAAAAATGAACTGCATTTGAGGAGGTTGAAACAGAGGCTTAGACGAGTTCTCTGTTAAATAAATTTAGTTCATCAAAATAGATTTAGTCCATTCAAAAATACTTTTTGGAGTGTTTTAAGGCGCAGAGGCATGACAAAAATGAACTTCAGGTTCAAATTATTTTTCGACAAGAAATAATACCGGGTTCATAATGACGTCCGAAATGTTCGGAAAACCCATTTTTGATGGCCGCAACGCGCGTGCTGCGCTGCTCTTTTTTCTGGATCAAACTATGACCCTAACAAAGCAAGAAAAAATAAATTCAATGCCGTTGTTCAAAGTAATTTCCGCGAAATTCGAAATGGGCCTCTGAATCTCCGTAATTTAGCTATCTTTTGTTTTATCTCTGACGGCTATTTTGTATTTCGCGGAATCACTTTGAGCACGGCAAAAAAAAGTGTTCAAAATTTTATGAAGTCTGAAAAGGGGTCATCTTTTCGAGTTTGTCTGAAATATTTTTCGCGCTTTTTAATCATTTTTGCAAGGACTGTAATTATTTAGGAAAAAAATCGTTTGTTTTAATATTTATATTAATGAAAAAGCAAAGATAAATAAACATGGTTAAGAGACGATAGAAAAAAACAACGATATTGATTTGAGTATAAATTCAAGAAAAACGGATTTTCATAAAAGTGTGAATCGCAATAGCAGAGAAAAACGTTACCAATAAATTTGTGACTGCGCCCGTTTAACAAAGAAAAAAAGCCTGAATTTTTTTTCGCTTGAACCCAAACAAAGCAATTGAAAATATGCGTTGAAGACCTACTTTTTTTTTGAAAATATAAGACGTAGTAAGTGTAATACTGATTTAAAACTTTCTCATTTATTCGTTTTCCCAACTAAATATATAATGATTTTTGTAGAGTTCAAATTCGGAAATACCTTCTATTTGAACGACATTGAGGAAGAGATCGAGAAACCGTGCGTGTCGCAATTACCAATGTCAGAGTCTCAATCAGCTCATAACTCTATGACGCACCTCTGAAGGCAGCTCTGAAACAGCGGAAAAGTGTCATTACCAGAAAAATAAGCGGCACAAAATGGGCGGAGCCTCGGAGCGAAAGGCTCAGTCCGGATAAATGCATATGAGAGTGACGTGGTGTGGTGGGACGTGGCAAAATAACAGCGGAATGAAATGGCTCGCGACGGATGGCCGAGTCGATGATTAGACCCTCGAGTGGCCACTTGAACCGCGCCGTTTGACGTCTTCCGGCGAAGGGTACCCCCGACGGCACTTCGTTGAAGTCTGGAGCCGCGGTATTATTGAGAGGAATAAGTGAATTAGGAAAAAAAAAAACTAGAGTGATATATGGAGGCCTCGGTCCAGGTTTTCTTTAATTACTTAAAACCGTAAAAAAAAAATTTAAAAAAATAGTACAGAAACTATTCTTCTGGTAGCTCATGATTTGAAAAAAAAACTCTCAAATTTTCATTGAACATGTGAGATCGGATACTTATTAAAAATTCTCTAAATTGGTTTTTATTGCGAAAAAAAGTATATATCTAAATGCGTGACCAGAACAAAATCTAATTAGCAGGATAAACACGTTTTAAAAAATCAAATCGCTCAGTCGCCAAATAAAATTGAAAAGAAAAGGTCACTTTATAAACGAAACGAAAATTAGTGAAAAAGAATGAAGAAAGATTGATTTAAAAAAAAAAAGAAAAAGTTCGGGATGAAACTTTTAAAAAATTTGAATGAGGAATTCAGAAGGAAAGAATGGTCTAAAAGAGCAACGTGAAAAAATTCTATATATTATCTCGGACATTGGTAACGTGAAACGGACGTGCTCCGGACGTTTCTGGGCGATTCTAGGGATCACTTAAGAGTGCTGAGGCCACTAAAGTGATCACTAGAAATGCCCCGACACGTCCGATTCGTGTCCCGTTCGCGTTACCAAGGTCCGAGCTCGAAAGTTTGATAATCTGCTGAAGTGTACAGAGCACAACATGACGAACGTCAATAATATGTATTTTGCCGTTCTACCGCAGCTTTTCGACCACCTTCAATTTTTACACATTTTAAGCCATTTTAAGGCTTATTTTCATTGATTTCTAACATTCGGTCATCAAAAATGTGTCATTATCAGCAAATTTCAAAAATGGGGAAATGGTCGAAAAGTGCGTTATAAAAAATATGGTCGAAATCCAGTGGTCGCACGGTGTTCCGCGCAATGAAAAAAAAAGCGAAATTTTGGGTCCCAGCGGCATATTATCCGTGGCGCATTATTGCGCCCTTCTCATGGTTTCTGATGCAAAAATTGAATTTCTTCACTTTTTTCCTTGGTTTTTTACTTTTTTCTATTTCTTGCATTTATGTGATCCGCCTCTCTATGGGTACATCTTGTGGAGCTTTAAATTGCGCATTTTTTTCTAAACCGGTTTCAGATCTTTAACTTTTTTTCTCAAAAAGAGCTGAAGATTTTTTTCTAAAAAGTCCTAATTTTTT